TCGATTTTATATTTTTACCCTTTTGAATAGACCAAGAATAGTTACGTAAAAAAAACTTCATCTCATTTTGCTACCTATATTTTGGTAACATCCTTGACGTATAACTAATTTAATAGTAAAGACTTTTCAAAATCAGTTCACAATTGAAGAAGAAATCGCGAAACATATACAAAAAAAAAACATATATTCCAATTGAGAACCTCTTCTGTTTTGTAAAGTCTGCTAAATATGGAAATAAGTAAGCCATTAAAATATCGATATTTTAGTTTTAGAAACTTGTTCAATGTAATAAATAATAAAATTTATAGCAAATCAAAACCTACCACGGCTAATAATATGTTATTTTGTTAAATTTATTTGTTTGTATGAGAGTAAGAGATGTCAGGTCTAGAGAATAGTTATGTACCCATAAAATTGTAATTTTGTTGTACCTAAATACATATTAATTTTTATTCCTTAAAAACATGCGTAATAGTTACTGTAACAAACTAGTTTTACAATAATTGTTTAGCATGTTATAAAATACGACCGGATAGATGTATGTGCCGTTAAACCATTATCTGGCTGAAATAAATATTAGTGTTACCTTATTAACAACTTTTTCGATACATAACGAACTTTATTAATAGTCAGAAGGGAAGTAATAACCGTACGGTGGCGACGTATAATCCAACATCCTGTCCCCCTATGTATCCCGTGAGTGTCGGCTATGCGATGGCAGAAGGATCTCTTTGACGATATAATAACACATCTTTTTTACGCTTGGCGTAAAATATCTAAACTGCCGACAAAAAGCGACGTCAAAAGTGTGAGACGTCTAGTACCGGTAGATTACGTCTTACGTCGTGCTTTTTAAGTGATAGAGCCATGCGACAGCTGTAATAGTTACATCTCACAGAACAATATTATAAAGTTACAGCCTATATATAGAAGTAGTAGCTTAATGCTGCTGTATTTCGTGTGGTGAGTGTAGTGAACTGGAGACCCTTTTACTGGAAACGAGGCATTCAATGAGAGCCCCCAGGGGTGACAATTCCTGTATCTTTATTTTTAATCATATAGAGATGGAGATGTCTATGGACCACAGCAACTAGGGTGAAAATCAAATCGATTAAGGCAAATCTATGTTACAAAGGGAAGGCTCTTGCCCAGTCATGGACTCATGGACATCTCAATAAACAATCTTTGCGTGGTTTAATTTGTAACTTCGGCGTCTAGATCTATTAATGTGCGTTATTTGGACTTAATAGTCTTATTTTTAATTATCCAATTTTTTCAATAAAATATAGCCTAGATCACTCCTGAAATTGCTGTCTATCTATTCGTGAAGTTTCGTAGCGAACAGTTCAGCGATTTCGAAGATCAGCCCGGACAGACAGACAGACAAAATTTTAATTCATAGTTATTTACCTTAATAGCATTTTTTATAGAACAAGGGTGACAAACGAGCACACAGTCCACCTGATGGTAAGTGGATGCTGTGGCCCATAAACGTCTACATTTATCCTCGATTAAGAATCAAAACGCAGACGTGTTGTCATCCCTGAGGACTAAGATGGAATACCTTGTTTCTAGTAAAAAAGGGTCTCCGGATCTCTACACTCGCCATACGAAACACAGCGGTAAGCTGCTATTTTACGCTAGTATTCTATGCGAGCGTGGTCCTTTCCCGGTCGAGCATTCCTCATTCCTTTCCCATTCGTGCTACAACCATAATATAGCTGCCGCGTGGCTCTACAACGTACAAAATAACCTCCTGTGTTTTATAGAAGCTAATGTTTTTCTATATTATAGATGGACACTACAAATTTATTTAAATTTATAGGTATAGATGTACAGATTGAAAAAACGTAGAATTATTTCAAATAAAGCAAAAAAATCATAAAGTTCCAAGTTGCATAAGCGTGTAATTTCCTACGCTTTACGTTTGATGGTGTTAATTGCATTTCTTCAAACCGAGAACCATTAAAAGCGTTGCCCAAGCATGTGATTCGGAAGAAAAACATATTTAGAAAATACACGTAAGGTTGAATTGCGTAAATCGGATACTCACGATCACAATTTATAAATAAATATAATAAAATTATTTTTGTTCAATACATATTACTTGCACTAAAGTATTAGTGCAAGTATGTAATTTAAGCTATACTACTGGTTCGGAGAAAACCTCTGTCCTGGGATGAACCAGCAAGAAACCCAGCGATTTTTTTAAATAAAAATATTAGAATTGCTATCAACATCACTAATATTTCCTTTAACTACCCCTGGTAAGCTTAAAACGCTTGTGTTAGCTTGTGCATTCGAAGCCACGACCTTTTGAGTTCGCGGTTCGCACCCTGCCATTAGGCTACTGTCGCTTTCAAACTGGGACTTTTTAAACACTTATTTACAATATAATATTTTATACAATTAGAATCCCACCTCCGTAATTACTAGTAGATAATATAATATTAATAAAGGTCGAATCGTAGTGATAGATGGTTTACAGTATGTATCTTCTTGTCACTATAGGGTTCTTCGATCTTCCTCTAACAAGGTTTTTTATTCTTACTGTGAAGGACCTACCAAAGAACACCGAGTTCTATGGTAGCTCCTTCACTGATCAGGGTGCAGTTCTTTGGAATTCCTTGCCTGATGATATCAGAAAAATACCTAACTATACAGAATAAATATACGGACATAAATTTATTTACTTACAATATTATAATATTATATTCAACACTCTATGGGTTGAAATGAATCGTAGTTTTGGGGGCGTGGCTGATCCCTTTGTCGGTGAAACTCACGGACGACTGAGGTAGTGTCAAAATCAAAGCGATGCAATAGCTTCATAATACGCAAATAATTAAATAGCTCAGATGCGTAGATAAGAAAATTACTTACGTATTATTTTAAGAACCGTCTAGCTGTTCCGCGCGAATTCGCCCGCGTGTAATTTAAGGTTGTAGTATTTTTGAGAGGAACCCTAATACGTTTTCTAAAATAAAAGTAGCCTAAGTTACATCTTAGTAGCGAAATTATATCTTAAATCAGCTATCTACTAGTGAAAGTCCCGGTAAAATCAGTGCAGCTGTTTCGGAGATTAGCCGGAACAAACAGACAGGCAGACGTATAGACGGCCAAAAATTTTAAAAATTGTGTTTTTGTTATAAGTATACGTTGGGTACTGTTATTTTGATATTACAAACAGAAACGTCAATGTTATTTATTTGTATAGATGTATAGATAACAAAGTTACATACCTATTAATTTAAATTGGGGAAAATTTCCTTAATGTAATGCTTGTGTCGTAATTAACTATTCACGTCGCTCTAATTAGCTGTTAACTTCTTAATTACCATCGACATTATGTCTTCTCGCATTGTTTCTTTTATAAAGTGTAAGGCTTATTAACTTTCATTACGTGTGAGAGATTTATTTCAAGATTCATTGCAAAATTTCTCATCTACACGTAACATCTCGCTACTTAAGGCCAGGTAGGGTAAATTACTTATTTTAGACATAGATTTTGACGCTCGAAAAATTATACTTCTTGAAGTAGTATAAGCTCTGAAAAAAATATGCGCATACATAAAATACTCATTCAACTTCTAAATCGAAAGGAGTTTTAAAATACTTTTATAATTTGATTGTAGGGAAATAACTCTGATGTTCGAATTCTCGTTGTTTTAAGCTACAATCATATAATATTTTTCGATAATATATAAGGCATGTTATTGAATTAGATTCTTCAATGACTACATTTTTATTTAAAAAAGGCAAATTGAATGAGAACCGCTTAATTCGTACTTCATATTCATACAGCATACACTATACTCTCACAGAATACCAGCGTAAAATAGCAACTTAATCCTGATGTATTTTGTATGGTGAGTGTAGAGAACCGGAGACACTTTCTTTTAGAAAGGAAGCATTAAATCCTAGTCCTCAGGGATAACAACGTGCATTTAGATTCTTAATCGAAAATATATTTAGATGTGTTGCACAGCATCCACTTACCATCAGGCGGACTGTGTGCTCGTTTGTCACCGTTATTATATAAAAAAGCATACAGGGAAGAAGAGTGGAAATCCCTGCCTTAAATGCTTAATTTCTTTTGAAACCATCCGAATATATTTCTAAATATTATACGCGCGAGATTTATCAAGGCATCGCCGCATTCACACGCTCTGAATCCGTTGTTTTCAAATATACGGTTTACAACAAAGGAGACGTTCCGACCGGTGGCTTTTATTCGCGTCAGCACAATCATTTGGCTCCGCATTTAGGTCTACTAATGCATCACGAAGAATAGGTCAGTAATGCTTTTGTGAGCAGACGTCTCTAATTTCCATTGCCATTTAGTGTTCAAAACGATTCGCTGTTCGGTGAATTCAATTTACAAATATTATCGGGTGGCATCTGTCTATTTTTAACTGTAGTACGTATTTACAAGTGTGTGCCTACACCAAGCGAAGGGTTGTTTAAGTAACTAGACTTGGTGCTAGAAGCATTTGTTATTAACCGAAAGGTGTTGCTGTGGTCGAGTCGAAAATAAAAGTACCTAATTTAATTTAATTTAATCTACTACAGATATGTTATAGTACTGAATACTTTGAAGTAACACTAATACCCCTCAAGAAAATTTCTAAAAGGTTAGATTTAGTTGTAGATGTCTCGACCCCTCCCTCTTCAACGTTCAATAACATTTTTACAGCATAAACGCAATCATTGGAACACTCGCTCGTCGTAACTAAGTTGTGAATCGCATAATATGACCTAATTTTTCAATTTTTAAGTTTTGTTTTGGCACAAAAATTTATTGCCGGAATATCAATCCAGGGTCTGTCCAGGATCTCTAAGCCCCTGAAAATGATATAAGGGATTTCTTAGCGTTAACTAGATAAATAATTGTTACTCTATTATTTCATGTTAAATAGATATTATACGATCAATTTATTTAATTTAATGGTAAACATTAGTTTTAAAATGACATATAATTTTGTTAACGTTTGTTCCAGCGCAATCAAACAAACGCAAACGGTCGGGGCAGGAGATTCACGTTCCAGTCGACAGTGCGCCAGTTGGAGAGGCGGAGGCTCGCCGAGAAGCTGTCCAGGGAGGCCGATCTGAAGGAGCAACAGCGAAAAACCGAACTGGAGGCCATGCGAAGGTGCTTTCCTAAATATATTGTTTAATTGCACATGGAAGTAGCGCGCGTTGCTCTCAAAATGACAGTAACTGTTGTTAAAACAGTGATAATCTGTCCTAGCTAGAGTAGGACACCATTTTTTACTACGGCACGGAATTGTTGCTCTTCTCTTACCTCTTTATATAGACATAGGTACAATATCTATTTATCAGATACCGAAAATATAAAGAAATAATGTTTTATGTGTAAAATACCTATATAACACATCTACTTCGACTCTTCATTGTAGGAAATACTCGTTTCAGAGTACCGAAGATATTTAAACCAATTACATTTACAATTTTAGCTATAACTCTAATCTAAACAAAACAAATCCGTCAAAAATCTCGTATCACTGTGAACGTTGACAATAGTACTGGCTGGATAATACTTTTTTTTTCAGAGATACATTTTACCAATGCCAGTGCCTACACCACATACGTTACACTTCGGAAATAGCCAATCGGATTGGTTATAATATCTGGAGCGAGCGTGAGTGTGACTGCGAGGACTTCTTAGACATGAGGATTGGCTCAAGCCTCTTATTAAGAAATCTTTACGTACCGTAACCGTAATATGTAAATAGTGTAACGTTACTTTTTATTATGTTAATATTGGGGGAACAGCGCGTACGCAGTTCCCACTACCAAAAATTACGCGTCCGAGTTATCCACATTAGGGATAATCGCAGGGGTCAACCTAACCGCAGTGCAATGGAAAGGCCTCGCCCTGGGGGAACCGCCTTCCTGATCACGGTATCCCCTACGCCAGGTAAGTATGACTTGAGAAGCTCGCTCAGCTGTAGTCATTCATTTACAGAAAATCTCAACACCGCGAGCCACTATTTTATTACTGCCCTCTATCGGCATTTTATTGAACCACATTCACAGTACGTAAATGTCGTAATGTAACGTAATACGTAATAATAGATGGCGACTGCGTATATGTTAGTATGTAATACTTATATTATAATAATAATATTTCTTTTAGATCCGTGATATATCTACATTAGAAATATATATAACATATTCTTACTACTTTATATGTATTATGCATAAGATATATTAATAAGTAGGTATTATGACAACAGAATGTGTCACAATATTTTTGTTGTCAATGCACAGAATTCTCGAGATAAACATAATGTAACGACATTAATTATAGCCCTTTATCAACTATATTAATTTAATTCCTAATAGGTAGCCTAATAGCAAAATAACGTGGCAAAAATTTTTTTCTTGCTGACTGTCGGCATTTTGCTGAAACTTATTCGTTAAATAGAAGAACGTGACATAATTATTATTTTTTATTTTAAACATAGATGGCGCTTATTAAAAAATTCCCTTTTTATAAGATATTAGCGAAAGCTATTTAACTTATAATTAACATTAATCACTTCTGTTAAGCTTAAAACGCTTGTTGTCACGACAGTAATAGAACGTCGGATTGACTTTTACATTATAGTCATTTCTTAGTCAGGTTACTAGGGTTGCCAGATGGTCGGGATTCGTCTGGAATGGATTCTCCCGATATTTTATGATCTCCAGCATGAAGGTTAGAGCTCCAGATTCAAAATCTTCAGACAAACAGCCGGTCTTTACATCACAGCTCTTTTTAATTTAATAAAAGCTGAATTTCTAATAGACTTTAAAGTAAATTGTTTGAATTTTTGGTTCCAAATTGGTGGACTCAGTAAAATCCAATACCAAATACATGTGGCAACCTAAAAATTAAGTGCTCTTTAATTAATTATGTGTGTTAATAAGTATTTTTGTAGCCTATTCATTTAAAAAATAAACTTTTCATTTTACATCTTTATTTATATCTAATACCTATTTGTTTCTTCCAAGAACAAACCTAAAATCATAAATATACTTATTTGTGGGCTGGGCAGGCACCAAGCAGTACAGGCTGGGGTGGGGGGCGCACGTTCTTAGTTAGCCTAGGGCGGTCGGAATTCTTAATCAGGCACTGGACGTGCCGAAACCGAGTTTAAGTTTTCTTTCTCACACAACTTCCTTGTGCAGAACGGAGGCCTATAAATATACATACACCTTCAATTCCCCCGGAGTTGCAGTTGTTCATGGGCCTCGTTTGGCTCTCATGAAACATTACTAACGGCGTACTATGCATACATTTATTCTGCACTCGATTATGGTCTTTTGCTTTGGGGTAACAGTACAGATGCTATTAAAGCCTTTACAGCCCAAAAGAAATGTATTCGAGCTATGAATGGTTTGGCACCAGATTCATCGTGTAAACCGTATTTCAAAAAATTACACATTTTGACGCTGCCATGTATGTACATACTAAATTTGGTATGTTTTGTTAAAAATAATATACTTTTATTCACAAAGCTAAGAAATACTGCACAGAGAAACTTGAGGCATACTGAAAGATTGACACATAGTGTAATGCCAAGCATTAGCCTCTATAGGAAAAATTGTTCAGCTTTGTGTATAAAAATTTTCAATGCACTGCCTATAGAGTTTCAATCACTCCCAAAGGTACGTTTTCGCAGGGTTGTCAAACAATGGTTAGAGGAGCAATGCTTCTACTCTGTTGAAGAATATTTAAATTTTTTGATTAGGATTAGGGATCGATATTGAAATGAATTATGTAACTACTATCATATTATTTTAATTAAATTAAATGTAATACAATTATTATAATGATTTTGAAAACATGTTATTAATTTATTAGTTGTGAAAATGTAATTAATGTTTTAGATAAATTTTTGTATGTCAACATTATGACAAAACATGCTGGACTTAAATAATTTACCAACCTGTAATGTACCATGTTTTCTGCAAATAAATTATGATTATGATTATGATTATCTCTCAAATAATAATATTAGACTTTAGAAAAACCTACACAACACGCATTGATCTTTGGGTGATTATTTTATTTCATCCAGGTAATGGTGATCAGGATACTAGGATAAAGTTATTGAATTACTGTATTGACATAGGTGCCTGATACGAGTGCAAATTTCAAGTCAATCAACCGTCTACAAGTTGGTGAAAATTACATTAAAAGATTCCGTTATATAGACACACGCTAAGAAAAGCGTGTTAAAAAGTAGGTAGTCTTTTTTTCTCTGAAACAGCTACGCTATTGAAGCTCTTTATTAAGCTGTTATCAGGAAGATGCAACAGCTCATCTCCTACTTCATTTCCCTCTGTCGCCTCTTACGACACCCACGGGGTGTTAATGGGTAGTGATAAGTTTAGAGAATATGAAATATAATATCTTAATTTTTTGTCAAACCGTGACCAAAGTTATAGTTTATAATAAACACACGAAATTTGCATACATACATAAATAAACTCTTAGACCTGTCACACACAGGTGTAGACAGAGACTACAGATTTCCATTTGGCACGATCCTGCTGACTCCCCCATACATGCTCGCATACACACAATTTATAATAGGTAGGCTTGAAGGCTGGGATTGTTTTAAGTGACTGTATCATTATATAATCATCACTTTCTTCATAATCGTCATCAACATGGTCGAAATGTAAGGAACGATTCACATTAAATCGTAGTCTTGAAGATCAATTTCCCAAAAACCGACTTTTCTGTTTCTTTCTTCGATCAATGGTTTCTTTCCTTTTCTTTGTGCTTTATGTTACATTTTGTTTTATTTTTCTCGTACGATCTCTTTTCATTTCAAAATAATCATTATTGCCAATATTTTATTTCTTTTGGGCGCCAAAGCACAGGATGAAATAAATATTAGTACTATGTAATTAATACTTATTTGATTCTTGCCGACGTTTTAATAACCTACATAATTATTAATAATTAGATAAATCACATACGCAAGCTAAATTAAACTTTATTGCTGCAAGGCTTTGCCTCCTTTCCCCTTCCTACATCGTGGGCGATATTCCGTTGTAGAGTAAAGTCCGCCACACACTACATACGAAATTCCGTTTCGGAATTCCTAAACGAACGGGTCATTAATTTTATTTCCGTATGTATATGGCCGGCCTAAGTACAGTACTTACAGTTATTAGTTACCATTTGACTATTTTGAGTAACTTAAATGCATATTCAACAATTGCAGAGTCGAGGAAGAGTTCCAGCGCAAGCGGGCGCGTGAGAAAGCTAACATAAGGCAGCAACTGCGGCTTGTCAGTAGCGGTGCCTCCAGCCTACCCACCACTGCTAACAATACTAAGGTAATGCGACACCAATGTTGTTTCATGGCACACACAGCCTGTCCGATGGGGGGTAACCACCGTGGCCCATGTACAAGGGGTGATCAAAATTAATAATAACGAGTGTATATATACGGCCCCGCGGCGCAGTTGTTACAGTTGCAGCGCTGAGGGCCTCGGGTTCAAATCCCACACGGAACAAATATTTCTATGGCTTACAAATAATTGCACCGGATCTGGATGTTTCTTCTTATGATGTTTCCCTCCTATCTATTTATGTATGTAGACTGTCTCCACTATACAGTAGAAAAACCCCGTGTAAGGGGTAACGTAAATTAAAAAAAAAGTGAGCATTATGACGGTTCCTCTTCATAAGCCCGTTAGGATACGTTGTTTGATCTTTTCCATTGTAAAGCCGACGCTTGGTAGACAGAATGTAGGACTTCTGTTCTGTCTAGGAGTCTCTGGATAGATATCCTGCACAGCTGGGCTCCGATCTGCAGGTTATAGGAAGTCAGTATAATTACAGCCTGCGAGGCAGGCCATCTTAGTCCCCAAAGATGACAACACAGCTGAGATTTCTTTGTTTGAAGTTGTCGGCAGATGTCCACGAGGTGCCTCTGCCAGGTGGCCTCCTGTTCCCTCATTTTAGTTTTTTATTTTTGAAATAAGTTGCGCACATTTGTCCCTGATACTCGTCGTCTCTCATAAAACACTTATATTACGTGAGGGTAATATGGTTAATATCGTCACTTTCTTATAACTCAAAAACTACAGCTTGTTTGCATAGAAGACTTTGTGATACGATAGCTCTTCATCGGTCAATCTAATAATAAAAGGTCAAAAGGGCGCTGCGTTCTCGACACCATTTTAAAAGTTGACATTATAGTAAATATTTTTGTCGATTTTAGTATGGTGTAGTGTAGTTAATTTCTTAAGTAGATTGCTATTTTTTTAATATATTAGTCATAGTATACGACAGTTTTGGTTTTATAGGACGGCAAAGCTTAAGGTGACCATGTTACCCTCACGTTCCTTATTATGTTTAGCGTCAACGAGATTTTATACTCCTTCTATATAATTATTTAGTTTTTGTTGAATTGTTGGAAACGGAATACAAAGTTACAAATTCCTTTAAATTTCCATTTGATTCAGAAATTATTATTTATAATTTTATATATATTTTATTAATATTATTATTTATATTATTTTTAAGAATTCTCTACCACACAACTCATGGAGTGGCGAAAATTTGACGTACGTTGATGTTTCGGAAAGTCTTTTTATAGAATATAATTACGGCAAGACAAAGTTCACAGTAAGAGGATGTTTGATTATCCCCGATTGATCGGGTTCTAGATGAATGTGAGGGTGGTCGACGGGAACTTGAGAAGTATAGGTATTGCGTAGCGCCCGCAACGATTAAGACCGCTTAGAAATTGTCAGAATCTTAAAATATTTTTTATAAAATTATTGATTTAAGTAATCAAAATAATGAGCAAGTAAATTATGAATATTGATGTTATGAATATATTTGAGTGATTCCCAAGCATATAGATCAAATGATTTCGTTGTAATTTCAAGTATAGTGATTTTTTAGAGGTGTTTTCGCAAATAATTATGATCGAGTCAAAATTATACAATCGTGTTTTTGAGCAATCAAATTCAAGATAAAGACATGAATTTACCTATATCAAAATCCCACTTTCGTTAGTGGTGTCATAGTCCTATACTATTCGATATAAGGAGGTGCATTTTTTCACGGTGTCGCCTTAAGCTGCTATTTTACGTTGGTAGGTACTCTGTGAGAGCGTGGTCCGTCACCAGTCGAGCCGCTTCATTCATGCTACAATCATAAGGTATGTTCCGAAATACACCCAGTACACTGGCAAATGCAAATGACGGCATCAATTGACACTATATTGTACTGGCGTGCCGCCGCCATATTGCGTCGGATATCCGGCCACAATAAAACAATTTTTAATTGTGTGTGCGCTGAATAAAGTATGCCAGAATTTGTTTTTATTTATTCAAATACAAAAAATTATAAAATAATTGCTGGTATCTCCATTAAGAATCGCCAACACTTTTCCAATATGGCGTAAATGTATGACGTCATATACCGTCTTATGTTTTGGAACGAATCACCAGTATAGCGTCGATTCATGACGTCATTTGCATTGGACAGTACACTGGGTTGTATTTCGTAACATACCCATAATAAAGCTGCAATGTGACTTTACAACGTATATAAAAATGACGATTGAAGTACTAAACGTGGCGCACTTAATACAGACTATTGTATGTCCTGTACAGGCGAGGGACGAACCGGACGGCTCGTGCCGGGCGTCTCCGGGAGCACGAGATACTCGCACTCGGCACAGCAACACCTCCTCAGAAACAAGCGCACGCAGTAAAAGCACTACGCCGGTAAGTACAAATAGTAATATTGATGTAGCAGCCAGATTAATCAAACCTAAACGGGAATAAATAAGATATACTCCGCTGCTACCATAACGCGGAAGGCGAGAATAAATAAAAAAAAACATTTTATTTCCTAATTATTCTTGGCTACTGAGATACTGCGGACTGTATATAGATAATTTGACGTTCTTATAAAGAAACAAGAAGCAGCCGCAAATATCATTCAGCGCCACACCGACTTCACACGCCGTTCGTCACGTATCCGTCGACCAATGGTGAGCCGTTTCTTCAACGCCGCAGTTCGTTTCCTCTTGCTGTTCCGGAGCTGTATTCCACACCGCCGCCGCCCGCCGACTACGCGTGCGCACCGATCTGCATGTCTTATATAGCCCGGTCCAGCGACGTAGCTTCGTGAACAACAAACAAGTCTCACGCCGGGAAACGAAACGTAGATAATTGTATATTTTAAATAGTTTTCATTGGTCATAAAATAAGCAATATAATTGGCTAGGCAAAATATTAATTGTTACCATTGGCAAATCAATAGTGAGCCAGCCATATAAATATAGGCAAGGTTGATGCAAAAGATATTCCATTCCGAATCCCATTCGACAGTACATTCATAAACATAAACAGTAGTTTCATTTCTCCACCTTAAAGAAAACCACGCGGAGTCTGTTAATAGTGGACAGTCGTCTCCACTATTACATTGAAATTTAAGAAAACTGCAAAAACTATGATCCTAGAGAGAATTATATTGGTGATTCTGATCAGGATATCTGGAATAAAGTTAATAAATTATTGTATTGTCATCGGTCCTTGACATATGAAGCAATCTAAATAATCTAATAAATCTGCTCTCTTGGTCGTAACGCACAACGCTGCGGTGTGCGGCTCAAACGCAGCGTCATAACGCAGCGTTTAGCGTCTCTGCGGAGAAGTGGTCGGTTGATTTTGCCGCAGCTACTAAAGCAGACGTGTCAACATGAACAATAGTTTTAAAATTTATGCTTTGTTTGAGGAGGAGGAAGAAAGAAGTTTGTATTTATTTTTATATAAAAAGGGATAATTGCGGATTAAGTTATATTAAATTATCTTCAAACAAATCCATTGTCAACCCGTGACGCACACCGCAGCGTCGCAACGAAAACGACGCCGCGCAGTGCGGTGCGGATTACCCGCTCCCCACTTCACCGCGCTTGCTCTTCGCCGCTGACTCATACTGTGACGGAACAAGATACCATTCTACACGTTTTTCATAAGATTGTGTTGTGTCCGTCCGGAACCGCATGCCGCATACCGAAGCGTTGTGCGTTACGATCAAGAGACCAAAGGCTAGGGGAAACCTATGTTCAGTAGTACTTTTGATAGGCTATAATGGACATGATGGTAATGATTTAGATGTGAAATTTTTGTACACTAGGTTTATAACTAATAAACACATTATTGTGTACACATATTATTTATAAGTAAAGTGGCTCCATGGCGCAGAGGCCTAGTAGCAATAAGTTGCAGTGCTAAGGGTCGCGGGTACAAATTCCGCACGGAACAAGTATATGTATGTACTACAAACAATTGTTTCGGGTCTGGATTTTTGTCCTTGTGCAATTTATGTTTGTAAACTGCCTTCACGATATAAGAGAAAGTCCTATTGTTAGAGTAACGTTTTTTTTAAAAGAAAAAAAGTAGATATCCGCAGAATAAGCTCTTTACCTTGACTTATCCATCAGACTTGAACTTGTGGTATATAAGCATGGCATGGTTCTCGTATTTACGGAACCCTAACGAGATATTGAGCGTATTGCCTCCGGAATAACCCGATAACTTCGCGTACGGGCTGCTTTTAGGAACGTAATTGTCTCTAGGCAATAGGCCATCTATACAGCTTATAGTAGCGACAACCAATGAGAGAGAAAGTTTTTCTAGTGACAGCCTCGTATCATTAAGCGAACTGTAGGGCAACCCCCTCTAGATGGAGTGTAGGTCAGACATGGAAGCAAGTCGATAGGTGCAGAAGTCTTAGGGCGGTGTTTAGTGACATTCCTTAAGGAAGACCAATATTTAGCGGTGGACTTTGGAAATAAACATTTTTACTTTTAACCTTTCTTGGATTTCCAGTGGACATATCCTTGACCTAAGCCCCTTTTAGAAATAGGACGTTGCCTGCACCCAGGAGTGGAACGTATACAGGTTTTGACTTGTTTGTTGATTTAGAAGTACTTATTGGGTACATAAATATTGTGTCCAAGAGAACTGCTGCCGACAAACATGTCACAATTTGGGAGATTGTGATTATTCCATCATTCCAATTCCATATTCATAATTTTGTCAGTTGTAGAGTTGGAAATCAAAACAAATTACCGCACCATAACAACCTATCAGAAGTCCACTGCTGGGCGTGTACCCGAATGGGTCGGATCGACCGGGGAAGGACCACGCTCTCACGGAATACCAGCGTATGGCCACGCAATGCTGCTGTTTCGTATGGTGAGTGTAGAGAACCAGAGACCCTTTTGAATGGAAACGTGACATTCCATCTTAGGAGTCCTCAGTGATAACAAGGTATCTGTATTTTGATTCTTAATCGAGGATAAATTTGGATGCCTATGAGCCACAGTATCCATTTACCATTAGGTGGACTGTGTACTCGTTTGTCACTATTCGATATAGGGAATGCAACTAAATAAATAAATAGATGGATAGCAAACCTACGTGGTAAACCTAGTGATACTTACTCATTTGTTCCCATACCGTATAACGTAATGTTATAAATATATTCGTATCACCTTATTAAATCGATGAGCTGTTAATCTCAATTCAGACAACAAAACGATCTGGACATCGTTGTGTCAGAGGCGTAAGATTGCATCGTATACGGTATGTGTATTTGTAATGCATAGTGTTTCATACAAAGTAAATAGTCCAGGATCCAGATGTCACAACGCGTGCATACGATGATACGACCAGTCTGTCTGTACCTTAAGAGTTTCCCGTTTCCCGCAGATCCGGTGCGTGGAGTTGTCGGAGTGGCGCACGGGCCCCGCGGCGCGCGTGTACCGCGACTGGGCCGCAGCGCACGCGCACCCGCCCGCCTGCGCCACCATCACGCACGCACACGCCGCCGCGCACGGTAACTCACAACACACACAGACACGCACGCACGCACGCACGCACGCACGCACGCACGCACGCACGCACGCACACGTGCGCACGCGCGCACACGCGCACAGCGCGCACACGAGCACACGCGCACACGAGCACATTTGCGCACGCGCAACTTGCGCACGCGCGCACGCACGCACGCACGCACGCACACACGCACACACGAGATCACGCGCACCCGTCCGCCTTCGTCACCATCACGTACGCGCACGCTGCCGCGCATGGTAACTCACCACACCATCCTACAATCACCACCAAAGACTTCTATGTATTCTTATATACGGGCACTACGGTACCAATACAAAAGAAAGCCGTGCTTACATTGTAAAAATTCCTTTAGAGAATTTTTTTAAGAAATAAATATAATATTAATTTTGGCATCGCAAATGATGTGAAATTAAATTTACAAAATGTAATATATGTACCTACACAAGAACAAGAAAGCTTTGATAAGAATAAAGATGTTAAAGCGAGTCACAGTCACGGTAATTTTATAGATAATATTACCGTGTCACAGTCTACACAGATACAATCACATTTTATCGGCGTATAAAAATTCAATTATCTGAAAGTATCACACACACGTAGATACGACAATATAAGAAATCACTTAAATTCTGTATTTAAGCGCATATGTTTCAATATCGCTCTCTATGTAAATCGAAGAACTGACACACAGCGCAGATAATTTATAATTTATTAAGTATATGTAAGCACCAACCTATTACGAAAGATTGCGACAATATTATCTCCTCATACCATCGATCACTAAAAAAAATATTAGTGATCGATGGCTCGTACTAATATATCTGCAGATGCTATGTACATATGGAATTACCTGCGGATAAATACAGTATTAGCAATTGCTAGTAGTTTCAAAAGATAACGTTCTTTTTTCAAATTGAATATTTACATTCCGTCAAAGGCCATTCTTCGGCTTCATGTATTTATTTCCAATTGCTATGCATACCAGAAACGTTTACGTTTTTTACGTTGTTTAATCACAGTAACAACTAGCGTTGTATTTATTATGCATGACTTTATGTAACAGCTAAGCTTTTGAACAGGCCCTATAGCAAACATATACAAATAAAATAAAAATAGGCCCGACGTCCATTAGCGCGTCGCACCTTCACCGGTAAGACGACCTTGTAGGGTTAAAATATTCAGTTACACTTTAAATAAACATTCAATATTATAGTCACCCTTTTGCCTCACATCAATTTATTTTTATATTTCTTTTATTTTGTTATTTATAAGTCTAAAATAAAAGAAAAGAAATAATAATGCAATAAAAATGTAAGACCAATACGTTTTGTCAGTGGTATGATAAGCGCGAATATACTCGTAGCTGCTGCAAAAATTATTTATATTTTGTAATGTTTTGTTTTCGATATAGCTATATACAGCGTGGTTTTATCATGTACCGTGTTTTCAATATAGCTGCAGGGTGGCTCTACCACGTATCGTATTGTTTTCAATATAGCTACAACGTGGTTCTACCACGTATCGTATTGTTTTCAATATAGCTACAACGTGGTTCTACCACGTATTGTATTATTTTCAACATAGCTACAACGTGGGTTAGCGCTTCCACGTATTGTATTATTTTCCAACACGATGTAGCTACAACGTGGTTCTTCCACGTATTGTATTATTAATTACAACATATGCTACAACGTGTATATGTTCTTCCACGTATTGTATTATTTAAAACTATATTGCTCAAAACAACGTGGTTATAACTTACTTCCAACGTATTGTATAAGCTGCATTTGTCAACATAGCTACAACGTGGTTCTGTCCACGTATTGTATTATTTTCAACATAGCTACAACGTGGTTCTTCCACGTATTGTATTATTTTCAACATAGCTACAACGTGGTTCTTCACCACGTATTGTTTTGTTTTCGACATAGCTACAACGTGGCTCTTCCACGTATTGTATTATTTTCAACATAGCTATAACGTGGTCTGGACCACGTATTGTTATTTTTTTCAACATAGCTACAACGTGGTTCTACCACGTATTGTATTGTTTGCAATATAGCGGCAGCGTGGTTTCACCACGTATTCTTTTGTTTTCGATATAGGGGCGGCGTGGCTCTACGACGTATTGTATTGTTTTCATATAGCTATAACGTAGCTGGACCACATATTATTATTTTTTTTCAATATAGCTGCAGCGTGGCTCTACCATGTATTGTATTGTTTTCAATATAGCTGCAGCGTAGCTCTACCACGTAGTGTGTTTTCAATATACCAGCAGCGTGGCTTTACCACGTATTGTATTGCTTTGAATATAACTGCAGCGTGGCTCTATCAGATACTTCAGGTTCTTTCCACGGCAAAGGTTTTCTTCCGAACCATTGGCAAAAATTTAAATGACTTTCAAAAAGTATTCTTGTGATCTATCTCTTTACATAAAAATCAATTGTCCGTTAGTTTCGCTAAAACTCGAAAAAAGCTAGAGCGATTTAGATGAAATTTTTTGTGTGCGTTTGAGTTTCACAATTAAACCCGGTAGGTGGCGCAGTTGTCGAGATTCAGAAATGAACCGTTCGAAGCGGGGGAGTATAGTTTGTATTGAATAAAAATGATTGTATTGTATTGAATTGTACTGTTGTTCCCAGGGGTAGAAGGCGAGGCGTTTAGCGGCAGCCCGCGCTCGGATAACTACCGGCTGGAGTTCGCGCGCGGGCGCTCGCCGCGCACGCCGCGCGCGCCGCGCCTGCTGCCCACGCCCGGCTCGCCCTCCTCCTCAGGCTCCGACATGTCGCTGCGCCCCATACGCATCAGGTAACAAACACTTCCGACTACATGCAAGCCTTCTGTTTGCCGATAGGATCGTGACGTCACGCGTCGAAGGTCAAAAGGAGAAGCGTTGTTAGTGTTACTGAGATTAAGATCTCGGTCCGCGGAAGTAGGTGGGCCGATCATCGGCAAACCTTGCTGCGCACGAATTTATTGCAGCTTCTTTTTTGTATATTTAGACAGTCCCGTAGACTAGCTCAGAAAGTAGTTTATGATTTCGGATGTATGTATGTGCATATTTATGTATGAACGTTTGTGCACGCATTTGCATTTGCATTGCATGTTGGACGTCTGTTTGTGTTCCACACTGTTGATGGTTAACTTGTTTAATTGCTCCTTACCACCGCGCCAGCGCATACCTGAGTGTTCTATAAGTTTCTTAGCCGACCTATTCATGCTATAACTGTACCGTGGCTTTACCACGTACAAATCTTACTCATCGTACAATCACGCATCTCACGTAAACGACACTATACCCGAAGTAAGATATCAGTCATAGAGCAATTCATGATATCCATGTGCTTCCCACGATCGTCCAATATGACACCTATGTGGCCAAAGAAGCTTTTTTAAAGCTAAGTTTTGAAGTGAAAACTTCTTTAGCGGCGTTGTACACTTTTTTGTAATGGGTAAAAAATGTTAAACTCGCGTCAGGACACGTGACCCTGATCGAAAATTCGTAATAATGGAGAGAGAAAGAGAAAGCCGGCACGGCGTAGGAGAGGAAGTATCCCCCTCTGTTTCTACGGCGCGTCGAAAATGTATGTCTGCTGTTTCCTTTAGGCGGCGCAGCGCGCTTGCGCGAATGTTCGTGTGTGATAATTAAAGCAATTCGTGCAAAATTATTCCCTAGCCATTCCAAAATATCAAAAATGCACAACGTTAATATTCAAGTTTTCACTGCTGCCGGCACTCCCGGAGTGCAACCCGTCGTTTGTTTTTTTTTGGTTATTATTTCCTGATATTTGAAATTTTTTGATAATATTTCTTAAACCATGTATACGCTTCCTAATTTAGGCACTAAATGCACGAATATAAAACGCTTGCACTAAAACTAGTTATAAGTAATTTAGACAGTACGCGGTAAGTGAGGCTAACGTAGTATTCCTATGTTCCCAAGGTGGTGATGTGATATCGAGTTGTAGTGCCTTTATAACTACTAACTGCATACGACTGGCAACAAGGTGAGTGCTTTAGATCAGCTTGTATTAAAAATAGCAATAGAACTTATAACTTATAGTTGCTTATTTATAAATATAGTACGTGCGGGTAACATGGTCATCCGGTTAATATGGGCACTTTCTTAAAACTCAAAAACTAATTTTTTTGTTTTTGTTTTTGTGGGGTTGTTTTTTTTAATTAAGCGCTTTTTGCTTTTTTTTTTTTTTTTTTTTTTTTTTTGTGTTTTTGTTTTTTTTTTTTTTGTTTTTTCCAAAGCTTTTTTGTTTTTTTTTTATATATAGTATACTTTATGTTTTCATCTCTGTCCGTCTGCTAGTTTTGGTTTTATAGGGCGGCAAAACTTAAAATGGCCATGTTACCCTAACGTACCTTAGTGGTTTAAGAATATGTGCGTAGAGGGTGGGACCATGGAGTAAAATTGTCTTTACCGCATTTTTGCTCTTAAACATCTATGTATATCTAAAGTCAATTGTCTAGTGCGGTGTACATACATTTAACATAAATAGTCAGGTTTTGAGAGCATGAAAAATTGTAACTTCATCCAGCAGTTTTAAGAACGGATCTTTGACAGTTCTTTTTTAGTCAAAGGCCTTATTAAGATAAGCTTATTGATATGATAACCTACTGCTTATAAGAGAAGAAGCTTGGACCGTAGCCAAAGGATTAAAACTCTAAGAAATGATTTCAATCAGTTCAAGATCGGTTAAATAAATAATTTTTACGATTTTAAAACTTCGACTTAAAAGGTTTATATTGGCTGTATAATATAAAAAGGTAATTTCAATAATTTCTAGAAGTTGATATAAAGATAATAAAAATTGTGTCCATCGCGCTCTCGCTTATTCGTAACAGTTCGTTCAATTTAGCTAAAAACTTTCGGCTTCGACCAATATGAGCTGTAGTTTTAGCCGAAGCTGAAGGTTTCGCCCAAGTTGGTTTTTTAGCCGAAGTTGGACGAATCCGAAACTTCGTTCGGGCACTACCATCATTTATAGTATTATTATATTGTCTGACGACTTTCAACAGAGAGTGCGACGGGACGGTAGGGGATGCCTTGGAAGCAGAGGAGCCAGCCATCGTGCCCACGCTGCGGCCCGCCGGCCCCGCGCGTCCCGCGCTCGCTATTCGCTGACCGACATTCGCGCAGTATTTTTCTCATGCCACTCCTATCCTACACACATTTAAAAAAAATACTTCTACGACGTGAATTTAATTTGTATTAACGTAAATCACACTAACATAATACGAATTAAAACAGTGCTATTTGCGCGATTGGTTTTGTGATTTCAAAGTTACCGTTTTTGACAAACTGCTTTTAACTTTGTTCGCATAGAATTCAATTCACGCATAAGTTTTACATGAAATATGTATGGTACTGTTAAAATGTAAATAGTGTTAAATAATTTACGGCCCATGTCATTACTTACATAGGACCAATTATTTTGCGAGCTAGATCCTAACTAGCTATTATTACCGATTCACTTTTGATTGTCATATTATAATTTATTTAACAACATAGGTAGCAGTTAGTTTAAATAAGGCATTATGTATCTAATGTTTGGGGGAATATTAATTTATAATGTCATTTCTATTTTAAATTTGGATGACTATGAAAAATATATTTTATAACTTTACCTTAAGTGTTGTTGTAAGTCTGTAAGTACATTTTAACATAAATACAATAGCAATAGGTGTCGTCTTCCATTCATAAGCGTTTACTGAAGCTTTAATATAGAATATAAAATGTATCTATACTAACTTATAAAAATATAGTAATGGAGGTGCTAAGAAATGTCAAATATTTCCGTAATTTAAGATTAAATGCTCTTAAAGATAATTTTAACGCATTTTAAATCATTATTTGAAGCATTCCGTATCCGTATATTTATAGTTAACATATTTTTTAAAAGGCGCTACTGAATGTAAATTATATATACTTAAAATATTCCTATTTTATAAGTTTTCATTAGTTTTAAATATAAATTTAATTACACGTAACTCCAACAAATAATTACCAACTTTTAGAGCACAAAAAGAGAAATAACAACAGAAAATTTACATAGGTATTTAACACGCTAGGCGTAAATCGATTATGACCATGCAAGAGTCGCTGTGTACATTACAACAATGTGATTATAACCAGAGGTAGTAGTAATAGGTATATAGGAACAGGTGCGCCGAAAGTGGGTTAGCAGCGATGTGACCGCGCGACGACCTAATGACTGCCTTGATCGATGGACTTTCAATACGTTTGCTAGTTTACATACAGGTACAATTACAGAACAGAAAAAAGAACAAGTCATTTCTACTTCTTTATTAAAAAAAACTTCAAAAATATGTTGTTTTTCTTTTAATTAATGGCAAAGGTAATGTAAGAGTTTTCCTTCATAAAAAATTATTTTGCTAAAATTGACCTGAGTTAATATAATATTTACATGAAAATTTACCATTGCTTTACTTTTTTCCATATTGTTACTGTCTAATGCTTAAAGTATGAACATTTGCTATTGTTTTCGTCTATTTTATTTCAAAAATTTCAACAAATTTGATAAGTTTTAACACATAAAACAAAAATAGTAACTCGAGAACCTTTCTTTTCCATCGGTTGTCGAAGGTCTGACAACAATAGAAAGGTTCATCTATACATCGGCCCATTGCCACTTCCTCAATGATCCGTTGGACTATATCGGTAGCACAGAGTACATTATAAATCAGAGTATGATTTATAATGTACTCTGTGCTCTCCTTCCTCTCCATTAATAAAAATATTAATTAAATACTAAAATGTTATGGTGCAATACATAAATAATATATGTGTTTTATAATTAGCCGCTCAATGTATAAGGCATATCTCTGTTTATAATGCATCGCATACATAATTTATATTAAAATAAATTTACTCTACTTATAATCAAATAATTATTTTGTAACTATGTTTTAATGACTATCTTTACAAAATTGATATTAAGATATGTACATAAATAGAAATAAGTGTATAATATAATGATGTAAGATTTCAAAGAGGATGCAATAAATTTTTTTAAGGATCTGTGGCATTATTTCTACGTCCGCTAATCACCAAATTATATACTCATCCGCCATTTTATATTTTAAACTTATTGGGTGCGTTTGGCAGAAAAAAGCGCTAGCAAGCGCTTACAAGCGCTAAAATAGTTTTCGGCCAGGACACGATTGCTACTTCAGTAGCGCTGACAATATCCACCATTTTGCTTATTTAATTTGTTTGTTTTGAAGTAGAGTTTATAAGTTGTTTTGTGCAATATTAGTTTTTAAGTAGTATAATGACATGAATAAACATATACATGTTATTAAAAATTCATGATTGGTAAGTTTTTAATATGAATACTTTACAAACATATATTTAAATTAGGTTAGGTTCCCCGGTTAAAACTAACATCGTGTCCTAGAGGAAAATAGCTACTTACGCTTTGACAGCACTTACCGCTTACGATCGCCATTTTGTTTACAAGCGCTTGCTAGCGCTTTTTTCTGCCAAACGCACCCATTGACTTTGTTATTTTGGATTTTGACTGAAATATGATATCCAATCCAATGAGCCTTCCAATGAGGTTCACTGCGAAACAGAAACGTTTTTATTCAATATAGATTATAAGTAATACTTATTGAAAGTCGCTTTTTAATTTACCACTGATTCCGAATAAAACCTCTGTCCTGGGAAGAACCAGCACGAAACCCAGCGTGACTATTTTTTTAAAATAACAGCTTACAATCATGTAAGTATGTTACAATTAACAACACAAAACAAATTATAAAAATAGCTTGTTAGCGATCACCCTTCCCAGGGGTTATTATCATCCATAAACTCCTTAATATTATAATAACCCTCTTTTATCATAGATTTTTCCATGGTAGCCACGCTTGTCAGGCGGGTTGGCAACTGCAGATATAATTTTAAGTTATTGTCAGGAATATGCTGCTACCCATCTCGTGTTTTAGATTCCCTTTGTCTTTCAACATCCACGGGACGATATGGGATAACGGATATTGTTACACCGTCACCACACGGTACGTGGTACGGCACCATCAATTAGGTAGAATTCTTGTCTATTTTTTTGTAATCTTATATCAGTGACAGAGTAAAATGTGAATGTGTGAGTGCGTGCATACGTGCGTGCAAACGTGCGTGCGTACGTGCGTGCGTGCGTTTGATAGTCTTAATTAGGACTCATATCACATTTTGCATAGTACAATTCATTCTAATAGAAAGTTATGGAATAAAAGTAATTTAACCACGCCCCCTTCTATCGAGAACAAACAAAGGCGTATGCAAGCCCTTTAATAACGAGTAAAATTGCCACCATAAATCACCCGTTTTAGACGGTAGAAACAGCAGGCCAACGGCCTGTATCTGATAAAATAATAAAAAGAAATTTTATAAAACACTGCTACAAAATACATTGCTGCATTGCCGCTGTGGTTTATACATGATGATAGCGGGAGCCAGCAATGTATTAATTCCAGACGGCGCCAGCGGTAATTTCCTAAACTATAGACATGCGCATAAGAAACTTTTTTTTTTAGTTAAAAGTAGCTACAAGGTTTTGGAGGGAAATATTCAGTACTGTTTTGAGCTTATATAGCGCTGGTGTTGCCAACTGACAAGTTTTAGTGTCGTGACTTCGTATTTATTAATGTAACTTTATACCTAAAATTGAATAATAATTACCTTTATAAATGATTATAATATATTTAAAAAGTATATTTATAAAAAATATAACCACAGAACGCATAAATGAAATTCTAATAGTAAAGTAAACATAGAAGAGAAATAAAGTTTAATTTAAACAAAAAAAAAAGCGGCCAAGAGCGTGTCGGGCCACGCTCAGTGTAGGGTTCCGTAGTTTCCCGTCCGTCACAATAAGTGTTCCCACTTATGAGTTTGTACAAAAACTGTTGTTTCCATCAAGTTCAAAATAATTTTCCTAGAAAGTCCTTATAAAGTTCTACTTTCCAGATTTTATTCATATTTTCTAAACTTATGGTTCAAAAGTTAGAGGGGGGGACACATTGTTTTTTACTTTTGGAGCGATTATTTCCGAAATTATTAACATTATCAAAAAATGATTTTAGTAAACCCCTATTCATTTTTAAATACCTTTCCAACAATATATCACACGTTAGGGTTGAAATTAAAAAAAAAAATCACTTCCCACTTTACATATAGGGGGGGCTACCGTAATAAAACATTTTTTTTCCAATTATTATTTTAGCACTTTGTCGGCGTGATTGATACACATATTGGTACCAAATTTCAGCTTTCTAGTGCTAACGGTCACAGAGATTAAGCGAGGACGGACAGACGGACAGACAGACATGGCGAAACTATAAGGGTTCCTAGTTGACTACGGAACCCTAAAAAACACAACAGTAGTCATTTTACCGACAGAATACCGACTATATTCCAATAACCCTGGCGCTAGAAGAGTCTCCTCTTAAAGCGAACGTATTCTTCATACCACCTCGTTACCCACCGCGGCAATATCCACCATATACGTTCAGGAGCAATTTGCTACCCGAAGTGTTAGAACCGTCTTCGGCGCCGCCGGTACTGGAACCAACAGTACAGAGGACGCAACCTCCTCGTATAGTGGTGTCTCCTCCAAGACGGATCACCATGGCTGAGGGAAAACCGGATAGCGGCGTACGAGAAGCTTTGGAGGATAGGGATCCTCACAGCTTAAACCAGCATGTACAGGTACAATCATTAGGTGTATTAATTCCTTTTTTTTTTCAAAGAATGTTTTTATGTAGGGTATATGTGAGAAACAAGCACACAGTCCACCTGGTGGTAAGTGGATGCCGTAGACATCTACATCTATCATCGATTACGAATCAAAATGCAGATGCGTTGTCAGTTGTCACCCGTGAGGACTAATATGGAATACACCGTTCCCAGTGAAACGTGTTTCCGGTTCTCTACACTCACAATACGAAATACAGAAACTTTAAGCTGCTATTTTATGCCGGTATTCTGTGAGAGCGTGTTCCTTCCCCGGTCCCCACAGAATACCACGGTAAAATGGCTGCTTAATGCTGCTGTGTTTCATATGGTGAGTGTAGAGAACCGGAGATCGCTGTTACTCGAAAATAGGCATTCCATCTTAGTCCTTACGGGTGACAACGTATCCGCATTTTAATTATTTATTGAGGATAGATGTAGTCTGGTATGTCTGTGGACTAAGACATCCAGTTATCATCAGGTGGACTGTGTGTTTACTTGCCACCCTTATTCTATAAAAACATATGAATTTTGTATACAAAACGCTTTGACCCATAAGTTAAACTAAAATATTTTTATTACATTCACCGCTGTACTACATTCGAGGCTATATTATAACTAAGATACCTTTACCTTCCCCACGCTGTTGAATATATGACAAAATAAGTTAGGCGAAGTGTATACTGCAAACATATACTTGGAGTTTTGGCGCATACTTGACCGTCGTCGGTGAATTGTTGCTCCTTTTCTGTCGTTTATTTTTAATTTGAAGAGGATTTTGATAGGTACGTAAAATGTTAGGCGATTTTATGCACATGTAAACTATGAATGGAAATGCCGAAACAAATGTTCCGGTATTGATAATTTAAATCTTAAAATTATTTTGTCCGCTTAGGCTCCATAAAAATTTGATATACTATAGTCAGTGACTGTCCGCAAGGCTAAGCTGTCGTCATTATCTTCCAAAAACCTTTCATAATCACGCGTCATCTAAATGCGAAGAAGTATTTCAAAAAAATTATTGACCGTTCCGTTAACCGTTCGCGTTCATTACCAAAGAAATAAAAAAAATACTCCAAAACATGCGAAAGCGAAATACTGCAGCATTATGTTGCTATTTTAAGCCGGTATCCTGTGAGAGTGAGAGATTTGATCAACAATTCTGATCAAGATTGTATGAGTACAAACGAGCGCTCTCTCTGCTTTCCTTTTTCTACAGCTTAACTTTAAGCGCTCGTTCTCATACTGCTATGTACTATATCAATTGTATAAACATAGAAACAGTGCTATTTCACACTACGGCAAATCATATTACGACAAATAAAAGTAAGAGATAATAAACTACGACAAATTCGTGTGGAAGCTTAAGTTGTTTTCACATGACTGTGTATTCGTTTAGACCCAGGAAGGCAGCAATAATTTTTTTTTTGAAATTTGTGAGGTCTTAATATAATAATGAGACAACCTTTAGATTATACGGATCCCACTACGGTCAGCTTTTTATAGAATAAGGGTGACAAAACGAACACACCGTTCACCTGGTGGAAAACGGATGCTGTGGCACATTGACCCTCATCTATCATCGATTAAAGATCAAAATGTAGATGTGTTGTCACCCCTGAGGACTAAATAGAATGCCTCGTTACCATTATAAAGGGACTCTGGTACTCTACACTAACTATACGAAACAGAACAGCTTCCGTAGTCGCGCCCACTCATTCGTGCTGCAGCCATAAAGTATATTATGTTATAGCGTGGCTCTACTACAAAGAAAACTAATTATAACTACGAATAACCTTTCATAAAACAGCAAAAAAGGCCCTAGACCATTACGCAAGAAAACACGAATAACAAAGGATTATTTATTTGCGTGACCGGTGACCGGGGTACGGACTGCGCCCGCTAAATTACTTGCCGCCGGCACCGCCGCGCCGGTCAAATTGAACATTTGACCTAAACTTATCTATATTTAAATCTGTTTCCTTAGAATACATGAAATTGAAATTTTGTTGTCAAGTTATTTATAAAACAGCGGGGTTTTTTTTTTTTTAATAATATTATTTTTTTTTTTAAAAAAAAATCGGGCGGAAGAAAAAAAAAAATTTTTTTTTTTTTAAGACTCTTTTCCTCATATAGTGTGGCTGCGGCCCAAACAATCCCTTTATCCTTTATAAAGTTCCCCCCGGGGTGAGGATGACTTAAAAGGGCTGGTTTTCTCCTCCAACGAGTGTTTTTTGATTGTGAAGTTCGCGGCCTTAGTATAATATATATAGCTGTAGCGTGACTCTAACACGTAAAAAATAGTAACATCACCTTAAATATGATTGTCTTTTATTTCGCGTAAACAGTTTTCTGCTGAAGTGTGGTCATTGTGAATCTGGAATGTTCCTCTTTATCTTTAATTTATTCAAACAGATTGAAAATTGCTCAAAATACATAGATAAAGACGACACACACATGAGCACGAGAAAGATAGAGAATCTAGTGAGAAATTTGTACCGAGGAGAACCTATCTGCAGTCTTATTTCTGTTCCGTACAACACTGAATGTATCAAATAGATCTCAGTAGCTTGTAGTATGAATATTACTTACTTCCATTATAGTGTTTATAAGTTCATTTCTGGAAAGGCTTCCCCCACATATTACCTCATAGAGGGGATTTTTTCATAGTTGACACGTTTAGCAACCGCAGTTTGAGTTATTATCAGGAAGATGCTGCAGCTCATCTCCTGCGTTATGGGATAGTTCTTGCATCTCCACTACACGGTCAATTACTAAAAGAACCTAAAGTAAATCTAAGACTAGGTCTCTATGAACCTTGTGTGAATGTTATCGCACAAGCTTTACTTTATGCATAGGTATTTTATACAACTATGTCAATGGGATTCAGTATCCACATAACATCAGGTGGACTGAGTGCACGTTTACCACTCTTATTCTATTGAAAAAAACACCATCTGACCTCATCATTACCACACATTAGAACGTTATTTAAACGATAACACAAGAGCATCAATCTGCCAGCAGTCAATTTCCCGCCCAAGCCCTCTTTTCTTATATTGTCTGATCGCGCAGATAGTATGGGACGATATAATCGGCGAGCCGGAGGGCGCTCGAAGCCCGGAGTGCGCGTGGAGGCTGAGCCACGTTTGTTTCCGGCACTCCCGCGACGCCTGCTACACGCTACTGGCCGTGCTGGTGGCACCGCCCTGCGCACTGCTGCTGGGCTGCGGCTTCGCTTGCCTCGCTTTCGAGGTGGGTACTCTACACAACTGGTTCTATCCATCCATTTTAGCCTGTAAAAGTCTACTGCTGAACATATGCCTCCCCTATATTCCAAAAGAACAAATACACGAATGCAGTTGTAAACAATTGTAGCCAAGATTTATTTTTTAATGTGAAGAATTTTCATGTAACCTTGTCCTTATACCTAACACAGCCTAAAGAAGTCCACAATTGAAGGAAATGAAAGACTTGTGGCGGCGCTTTCGTCGCGCCACAAGCGAAACACATCGCCTTTCACCCTTTTCCTTCCACGGCCTTAGACACAGGCTCCGTCATGGATTGCCTTATAGGTCATTTTGCCCTAGTTGCCACGCTCAGATGGCGCGTTGGCAATCATAGTTTTTATTAATTTGAGTTGTTACCAGGACGATGCTGCTGCCCATGCAGTTTCTTACTGTCGCCTCTTACGACACCCACGGGACGATATGGAGAAGTCGATATTCTTAAGCCGCCGTTACACGGTATGCAACTAGTAAACTCCTCTCGAATGCCTCTGTTGACGAACTGCTGAATATATATATTTTCAAATATACACCAAATTGTAACGTAAATATATGAGAGCCGTGGTAGCTCAGATCGTTAACGCTCGCTGTAAATATAACATAACGCGAGTAACCCGGGTTCGATGCCCGCTGGCCACCAATTGTTATTGCAATTTTAAGTGCTGACTTACCGCGTGCTCGGCGGTGAAGGCAAACATCGTGAGGAAACCTGCATGTCTGAAAAATAAGAAAAAAAAATTTCGAAGACATGTGAAGTTCGCCAACACGCATTGGGTCAGCGCGGCGGACACTTCCTTGCCCTAAAACCCTCTCAGAAATGAGGGGAGGCCTGTGCCTAGCAGTGGACGTATATAGGCTGTAACTTTTACCAAATTGCTGCCTTGATTTCAAAAATTCTTTTACCTCTTCTTTAGTTTGTGGAATCTCATAATAGAGACTCAAAAGTTTTGCCTACTTATAACCCTTGGAAGGTGGGTTGATTGGTTGGTGGGCTCGCTCTTACAATGATGTTCTCCTTGAACAGTCAGTGGGGTTTGAATTTGCAATTTTCGTATATTAACCGTCAGTTTTGGATGACGGAGTTCTGAATCGGGAGTCCTTAGAGAGAAACAGATTTACTCTTTATTAATGTTTTAAGAAAGACTGATTCCACATATCACAGGAAAGGAGTCGACATAATAAGTATCGCTCCCGGATTAAATAAAACCAGTTGGTACTTACAGAAGAAAAAGAATAGAAACTGTAACATAAGACATTTGGTTAGTAAAATGTGGTAATGATAAAAACTTGTAGAAGTTGGTGGGACGGTTTGAGTGGGTGAATTTCTTAAAAAAATACCATTTAAATTTACATTAGTAATATTGTTTTATTTTTGCATAGATTTTCCGGTGACATTGGAATATTAATATTTTGCACATACCTACCCTTATTTAATTGCCACAACATTGCATGTTTGTACACTTTATTCTAGGTATGTTAAAAAAACTGAGAATACATTAACATAAACCTTGACAAAAATTTTGCGACAACTTAAGTTTTTAAGTACATTCTAACAACCAAATACAATGGACGAATGTTGATTAACGTCTTGTACCAACTTTTCCTATCGTTACCGTCACAGCCTATCAAAAGTCTACTGTTGCACATAAGCCTCTTCCATGGATTGCCTCATAGGAGGGATATTTGCCATAGTTGCCATACTTGGCAGACGTGTTGGCAATCTACTACTAGTCTTCTAGTTTGTTTCTATTTTTTAATAGAATACGGGTGACAAACGAGCACACAGTCCTTCTGATGGTAAGTGGATGCTGTGACCCATAGATCGATTAAGAATCAAAACGCAGTTGCGTTGTCACCCCTGAGGACTAAGATGGAATGCCTCGTTTCCAGTAAAAAATGGTCTCCGGATCTCTACACTCACTCACCATACGAAACACAGCAGTATTAAGCTGCTATTTTATGCTGGTGTTCTGTGAGAACGTGGTCCTTCCCCGTTTTCAGGTATCTAAAACCTACTGTACTGTGTTTGACTGTCAAGCTAAAAGACGACGGCGCGGCTAAAGCTAGTAATCTTTACAAACTCAAACATAATTATAATAAAAGCTCTTGTAATATTACAGCAAATATGGTGCTCGACGCCATGCTTGAGGTGCTTGAAGATATACTTCGCGTCGCTTCGCACATTGATGCAGTCCTGCATGGCGGCGACTGTCGCACCCGTGATGGAAGCAGTTGGCTATGTTTGCCGACACGTCCGCGTCAACCACCGTCAAGATGCGCCAGATGATAGAGACCTGCTAATTGTGTAGTGTCTTTTTCTAGTTTTTTTTTATGGTTACTTTCTTACAACAATTCCTCCGATATTAAATTAATCAAGAGAATAACAACCAAATTATTTAGCGTTTCAGAAGTACGCCTTCCAAAATATATCTTACAAATTATTATACTATGTCAAATGAATCTAACGTTTTTATAATACTGTAAGAAATACCTTTATTAATGAGGCTTGAACTTTAAAAAGAACTATCCTAGTAATTTGTTTTATTTTATCGTTTATTAAAATTTAATTTCTACATAACATGGCAAATTACCTACCTAACGTAGCGAGTATTTTTGTCATCTAGCAATGTAACCACTTTTTTATTTCATTAACTTGCTGTTTTAGGAAAATATAAAAAGTGAGCGCTAATTAATCTCATGCTCATCTACTTACTAGTTCTGACTGAGGTGAAATTTTTTGTTACGGACATGATCACACAGTGTTATTCATCATTATAAAGTTGCAATTTGATTATAAGTTTTTCGTTGTCGTGTTTTACCTAATAATAATATTCTGTAATCTTATATGTTACTTGATTATAAAATCGAAAGTTTGCAAAAAGCAAACATTTATTTTAATTATTATAAAATTTGTTAAATTATAACTTTAAAAAATAGACCTGTATGATTTAGGCGTTTCATTATTCTCTGGAGTAAATTTAAAAAAAAAAACTAATTGGCGCCAAACATTTTGACAAAGTTTAAAAAAGTTTTAATTCACTACGTTGATTTTAGTTTTTGGTAAAAATTAAGTTAAATTCTAAAATATAAAAGATGGAGGAAAGTGTAGAAAATAGTTCGGAAACAAGATTTTCTACCAAACAGACTACAGATTCCGTTTTAAGAAATAAAGAGAGCAGTTCTAGCGATAATTTGTTCGTTATTGCTAGATGTCAAAGGTAAGGTTTTAAAATGATTTTGACCTAGCCTTTTTTGGTAATTATATTTCCAAAATTTTTGCGTGGATTATTTTCTTGTGAATGAGGATTGTAATGGCAAAGAGAATGGTGATGAAAGAGGTATGTAACCTTTTCCGCAGAAAACACATTTAATTTATAAAATACTAATAATATACTTGCACTCTTTATACTTATATATTTATATTTAACTCAAGTAAGCGATATTTCCCTCTTTTATTTTTATTACAACAATATGTTATGTTATTTTCAGAAACAAAGAGGTTATTCCTAATCAAAATACAAGTACAAGTAACAACCAGGAATCATCCGAAGATTCGGATATCGAAGAGGTAGGCAAAAATTTATAATAATGAATAGCTGCACGTGTTACAGGATTTAAAACGGCTTTTTTACATTTTAATGGCCAATATGTAAATAATCATAACTAGAAATGATACCGGGTACCGAATATACGGCCGCGGGACATCCGGTACAAATTGTTAACTGCAAAAAGTTGTGGCCAATGACGCGATTTACACTAAAACCTAAGTTATAAAATCTTTTGGCATGACTTTCAAAGACATGTGGAACTATGTTACACGGACTAAGCATAAATGTAGTATAACATCGAAAGATGAAAAATGTTGAGTCTCTGATGAGTATAAAGAAATAGCAGCAGAAATAGTATCAGAACGCTGCAGTGTTTTATATAGTGAGGTATGAGAAAATGAGAATTTCATGCAGTACGAGAATGATGCCGGATCGTTTAACATCTGTTTGACTGTGTGCTAGTTTGCGTCCCGTACTTCTATAAAATAGGTTGTAGTATAGGTATACTTGCGGACTTGATATAACCATATATATAACCATGAATTTAATAGTATGCTCCGTAAACCCACCTGAAAAAGCTCAGTATTCATAAGGCATTCTGTTAATAAAGACGATTTTCTAACATTCGACCACTCTGACCTATGACTGACCTCAGACATTAAGTATTATTGTTATATTCAAAGTTAATCTTCTATTACTCCTTGTACTCATGGTTGCAACCAAAAGTCTAAATACGATGTAAACCTTATGTACGACCGAATATGTTACACCAGCAAAGTTGACGTGAGCAATAATTATTTTAAAGTTGTCGATCTTTGCTTATTTTCGTTTAACTTAAGCATTATCTTACTGAGAACAATTAGTATATTTTCCTTGGTGCCATAAGCAACCGTACCGTATTGGACTAATACGCAGAAGGAAGAATCAAATTATAATTTAGAGCCAAGACTCCGTTTAATTAATTACGGTCATTTAAAAACAGGGCGTGATTAACGATGATATGTCTCATAAGGTGAACTCTTATGAGTCATATCATCGGCTTAGACGGTGTTCAATGGCAGGAGTGCTTTACGTCTGCAGAACACCTACTTAAACAAAAGGCAATCATTTCGTGGGTGTCGACGACAGACAGAACAGAAGTAGGCGACAGAGGAAAACTAAAACAGATTCCTGGTAACAGCTTAATAATATTGAAAAATGCAGTTGCCAACCCGTGTGTCAAGTGTGACAACTGAAATATGAAGTAAAATATGGAGGAGGCCATGTTTAACGATGGACATTCGATAGACTGTACATAATAATAAAAACTAATGAATTGTAAAGATATTATGTTGTCGTTTCGTGATCAAGTTGTCATAAGAAGAGGTCACTAGTGTGTTGTTACAACACTAGTGAATCTAACAGGTAGCTTGTGCAGAATAAATTCCTAAATTGAAATATTTCTTTTATTTAGCGTATTCTTGTCGTGTACTGTCGATCTGGGAGATTAGGAGCAGCATACTATACGCTTCAGACTGGCGAGGTTCGTAGATTTTTTTTAAATTAGTACTAGGCCTTATAGAGGGCGACCTTTTAATCGATTGACGGATTCTTTACAAACGAGCTTATAATGGCTTGTCAATGAGTTAGTACTGATGGCAGCGGGTTCAAATCCTGCAAGGAACAAGTATTTTTATGGCTTAAAATTAACTGTTTCGTGTCTAGATTTCTAATTGTCCTTGTGTAACTTTTTTGTATGGGGATAATGTTTAAAAAAATGAAAGAACGAAAAGAAACAAACACTTGATGGTTCTATTATACGGAACCGTGGATTTTTAAAAAACTATATTACACAACGCGATATAATTGAATTAAATTAACAATAAAGAATTAGTAAACTTATGATATAGTAATAACTGGGACTTAGAAAGATTTTGTAAAGATGTAGTAACGACTTAGTAACGATGATTTAGACTTGTAGATTAATTGTAGACTGACTGTAGAGTGTAGACTGCCCGGTGTTCGTCAGGAGATCGGTTATATAGGGCTTATGTCGCTGACGCAGCAGCGTGAAAGAGATGCGTTAACCGATCTCCTAACATCGATGGGGTATAACAGTTCGTGATGGTGCGACTATGTTATGGTTGTAGTACAAATGGGTCGGCTCGACCGGGGAAGGACCACGCTCTCACAGAATACCAGCGTAAAGTAGCAGCGTAATGCTGCTGTGTTTCGTATAGTGAGTGTAGAGAACCGGAGACCCTTTTTACTGGAATCGAGACATTCTCTCTTAGTCCTCTGGGATGACAATGCATCTGCATTTTGATTCTTAATTGAGTATAAATGTGGATGTCTATGGGTCACTATATCCACTTACCATCAGATGAACTGTGTGCTCGTTAGTCATCCAATGCTATAATAAAAGTTGGCGACTGCAACCCATAGACACCTCAAACATAGTTAAGACAAAGAAAGCTACAAATGCATTGTCATCTCCGAAAACCTAGACAGAATGTTGTTAGCTCCGGGGCTTAGCGCTCCGGCGCCAATGAAATTGTTATTTGCAATTTTAAGTGCTGATTTACCACTTGGTGGTGAAGGGAAACATCTTAAGAAACCTACATGTCTGAAAAAAAAACATACGAGTATGTTGGTTTGTATTTGGAGAAAAGGCCTGGTAAAGGTAAGCGGTGTAACCCGCCTCCCACTCTATGGGGTGACCGTATATCCCACAAAGGAACTGTGAAGAGCTGTAATGGTGATGATGATTTAAATATGAGGTTGTTTTACTTTATTTTATTACAACCTTTGAATATCTACTGCATATTGAACAAAACAGTAGATTAACTCCCGTTTTAGTTTCTTTTTTTGCTCCTTATCTGGGTGTCATGGGACGATATGGGGTAGGTTCACACCCATTACGGGGCTTATCCCTATTAAACCTCCAAAATCTGATAAGTAACGTCAAAATGCTAGGTCTGACATCTATCTCGTAGTTAACTGACTCATTCTGCGATTGTAACAGTAACTGTCCTTCGAGGATATTCTGGAAAATTTTCCCCAAAATGGGAAAGACCCAACTGTAGACATTCAACTAACATTCCTTTCATACTTCCACCTAGCTATATGTACTAGACGAGATTATAGATCGCCCACCGGAGCACCAGATTTTCGTTAGCCTCTTCCGACAAGTGGAACCGATCAAAGTCCTGCTGGACGGCAAGACGCAAGGCACCTTCGTCAGCGCGGTGAAAGCTATAGTTTTCAACAACGAAACCAATGACGATGGCCGATGCAAGCTCATCTTCATATCAGCTAAAGAGTACAGTACGTAAAATTATCCTAACACAATCTTAGGTTAAACATTCCTTAAGATATGGATTACATATATGTACGTGAACATCGAAAATAGAAGTGCGTTTTTTTTAGTATTTTAAAAAAAAGGTGAGAAATGAAATCATTCGATAGCTACTATACCACGGAAGCACAAAAAGAAAATCTTGTTTATTATACGTTGCGTTAAGGCAGGTTAAATAAATTAATGGCCGTATGAACTAAGATCCCTTTGCCATTTGAAAAAAAAGTTATGCAAACAAATACTGCGAGTACATATAAAGGTACTCTGTTGGACATTAGACCGCAGGTCTTTCACGGAACAAATATTTGTATGGCAAACAATTGTTCGCGGTCTGGATTTCTTTGTGCAAATTATATATGTAAAACTGTGGTTACCATATCTCTTGTCTAACGTGGCAACTGTGGTATCTATGGGAAGGCTTATGTTAGACAGTGAATTTTAATAGGCCGTGATGAATGAAAAGAACCAAAATAGCCATTATTATTCTGAAGAGAAATGTCATCAATTTATAATAGGTCGTAGTAAAAGATTAAGTTATTTAAATTCATTTTATTTTACTTATCATCGGCTGATGTAAAATTTTATACTAATCTTTTTATTTATAGTATGACTGCAGCAAGAATAGGTCGGCTCAACCAGGAATAGACCACGCTCACACAGAACACTATCGTTAAATAGAAGCATGACGCTGCTATATTTTGCATTAAGAGTGTAGAGGACCAGAGACCCTTTTTAATGATATCGAGGCACTCTACCTTAATCCTCAGGGGTGACAACGCATTATTAGGTCGGTTCTTAACCGAGGAAGGATGAAGGGCCACAGCATCTACTTACTATAATGGGTTATGTGCACGTTTGTCTCTCATACTTCTTAAAGTCTGCCACTGAATTTCCTCAAATACCCGGGGTGGGCAGAACGCAAATAGAAGTTCAATAATACGACCCTTGAGGTAGGGATGACCTTTACCATCAACACAATTAAAATTAAAGTTAAAGTTGCTAAAAATTTATTTGCTTATATCCGCATAATGAAGTAAAATTATATGTCCTACCTAGTTTGAAGAGCACCTCACGCCCTCCCTCAACCGCCTCGGACACCTGCACCCAATTTCAAAACTTAAAACAAAAGAGACTATATTCGTTGTCAACGTAGAGGAATCTCACAGCCTGTAGTACTGGCTATCTATAGATTCTTCTGTTTTTGGCCTCTTCAGACCAGAACAGAGCAGTGAATTTTGCTGCGGAAATAGTTAAGGGTCTTACCACCAATGAATCACAACTTTCGCATACCTTTCTGAAATATTAATTTATGTGGCAACAGACTACGAAGCTTGCAAAAGGCGCATACTCACCCTGTCCTTACCACACGAGCCCCATAATGGCACGGAGGAAGAGCGCACGATGTTCCTCCGCACGGCAGTGGACTTCAGTCAGGTCCAGAGCGTGCATGCACTGGGCGCATTACTCCGATACCTAGACTTGAACTGGTCCAATCTGACTTTGAATATGCAAAGCAAACCGCAGTTCCTGAGCTTGAAGAGAATTTCTTTGTAAGTGAGCCTATGAATAAGTTTTATTAATTTATACTCTTTACCGTTACAGCCTTTAAGGTCCACTACTGAACAGAGGCGTCCCGAATAAATTACCCCCCAATAGGAAGGATATTTGCCATAGTTGTCACGCTTGGCGAGCGAGTTGGCAATTGTAGTATTTCGTTTTTAGTTTTATTTTTAGTAGTCCTATCGCCTCGTCCAACACCCCCGGAGTGATATGGGGTAGTGGAACTTCTTACAATTACTTATAACTTAAACCAAATAGTAACGTAAATAAAGAACATAACAAATAAATAATAACCAATAAATACTAGATCGATTTTGACAGCACAAACTTACCTCCCAAAAAAAATTAATATTGCCTTGTTGTCGGGCGCATTTTTTTTTCATTATGCATTTTGATTATCATATGATCAGTGGTGGAGGAAAATATTGGTAAATCTGCATGTGTCTTAAACCACTGGGTTGAATGGTCTAAGGCATGTGTAGAAAGTTAAAAATATTCAAAGGAAATCCGCCAATGCCGGAGTAGCACCGTTGATTCTCTTATTGCCAAACTTTCTTAGGAATGTTTTTTGCGTGCACTAGTTAGACATAAACATAAAACATTTATCTTGACACACTGCAGTGTATCAGCCAAGTTTTGGCTACGCACCTGCAGTATGTATACTAACATGAACTTTTGAAGACCTCTAAACCTTTAGAACTATGAAGCAAGTAAGACAAAGCATCTGCATTTTGATTCTTAATCGAGGATAAATATAAATGGATATGGACCTCAGCATTCACTTATCATCAGGCGCACTGTGTGCTCGTTCGTCATTCTATAAAAAAGATCATATGATTTAAGCCACTGCTATGGAACTTGGCAACCATTCATATCTTACCTTGTTTACGCGCAAAGTCGACAACCCTAAAAATCGTTTGCACCGAACTTGGCTTCCTTTTTCACTGTTGTTTTTGGTGACATCAGGGGTGGACCGTGAATTTGTGGGGCCCTGGGCTAACAACACTTGAGGGCCCACTGAATTAATCAAACTAATCAAATCAAACAACTGTTTTCTATAATGATATATACGGTCTGGAAAAAAGTTATGTGACTTAGATACACAAACAGCAATTGTAAGATATTATTGCACAAGAAATTAAAAGGTTATGTGTATTTATTGATCAAATTGTCAATCCTTTGTTAAACCACAATTTATAGAAAGAACTGATAAATTATTTAGTCGATTGTTGAACATTGTTGACTCATATTCGTTTTCTATGTACGACATCCTGGAAAAAGAGCGCCTCGCTTCACTGCTAGTGCTTGACAACTTTAAAAAATCAATAAAATAGTAAAACAATTTGGGACAATATCAATAAGTTTCTCTTCTCTATATCATGCCTCATTGACTTGGCATCTTCTATTCAAATTCTAAACAGCTTATCCAACGCGACGTTTCAATCAAACATTCTGCTTCTACAAAACGTGTCTCTTTTCGGAAATTAACTCTCTCATCCTCATTTCCTCTAAACCTCAAGAAATTTTCATAATATCACCATAATTATTTTCGAAACTTTGACAGCTCATGTCTTCACTGGGGTCAGGTGGCCCTTTATATCCTCGAGGCCCTGGGCTGCAGCCCAAAAAACCTATTATAGCCCCTGAGTGATATTTTTGTACCATGATACTGTTACTCTACAATATACCTCTGTATTGCTGAACTCGTAGAGCGGACATTGTGACCATAGACGAGGATACGTACCGCGGACTGCAGGTGTTTAGTTCACTCGCACACCCCAGTAGCTTCAAGAAAGGCGTTCAGGGCAGCAACAAGGAAGGCCTCAGTTTATTCCAGTTATTTAGCAAATGTTCCTCTAGGGTTGGCCATTCACGATTGAGGTGAGAGGAGGATTTTTTTTAAATTGAGAATTTAGACGCATTATTTATTTGTTTATTTCGACTTTGTTGCACAAAATTTTACAGAGGCGAACTTAACGCCTTAAGGCATTCTCTATCAGTCAACAATAAAAAGTAATACATTAATAGAATCAGACGTGGTTTTGTGGATATTTATCTTTAATAGATGTCAAAAATTAATTATCTAAGATCCTAGTATCTTACCTTTGTTTTTTTAATAAGCGCACGTCGAAGGCATGCCAAAAAGTTGTTACTTAGCATAAATTGTGGCGAAACCACAGCGCTGATTTTCAGTGATGATAAAAAAGGTTTTCGAGTTATTTTATTTCTCTGACATGCAGGTTCCCTCACAATATTTTGATCGCGTGGTTAATCAGAATTTTAAATTCAATTAACAACGTCATCGATGCAGTAAGTAGTGTCTACCTAGTTAGAACAGCTTTAAACTCCGTAGTTCACGTCATTTTTATTAGGCGGATCTGCACGTGTGTGGATCTACACGTGGTAGAGCCATGCTGCAGTTATATTAGTAGTATAGTTGTAGTACGAATGGGTCGGCTCGACCGGGGAAGGAACACGCTCTTACAGAATACCAGCGTAAAATAGCAGCTAAATTCTGCTGATTTCTCTACACTATCAAATCGTATGATGAGTGTAGTCGGAGACCCTTTTTACTGGAAATGAGGCATTTTATCTTAGTCCTCACGGGTGGCGACCCTTTTGCATTTTGTTTTGTACGAGATGTTTATGTCTGTGGGCTACAGCAACAACTTACCATCAGGACTGTGTGCTCGTCTGTCACCCTATCCTATAAAAAATTCTTAGCTAATTATTTTTAACATCTTTAGTACTATAATACGAGTATCGTATATTAAACGATTGACAGTGAAATCCAATATATACGCGGATACTATTTTTACTACATTTTACGAGGTAAGTAAATCCTTTTCTGCCCGCTAGATTTGACTTTTAATTGACTACCCTCTAATCTATTTATACCTCAAGTAGCTGATCTGCTACTGCTATGATTCCGACCTGAGGAGTACAGGGAGTTAATAATTACAAGGATTCCATTTCATTCCTCAGAGGTGACAACACATCTGTGACCTCCTTTTTTTAAGTCGGTCACTTATCACGTGAAATGTAAGTTTGTTACTTTATTTAAAAAATAACTTAATGTAACTTAACCAAAGTACTACTCATACTTTACCTAACTTTTATTCATACCGTTACAGTCTATTAGTCTACTGTTGAGCTTAGGCCTCCCCCGTAAAATTCCTCATAGGGGATATTTGCTACAATAGCCACGCTTAACAACCGCATTTTTTATTATTAGTCGTTATTAGGAAGCTGCCGCTGCCCATCTCCTGATTTGCTTCTCTCTGTCGCATTTTACGACACCCACACAACTACACGGTAACGGTAAAAGTACACGTCATCATCGAAATAAAATTAAAGTGTCTTTTTTTAACGTCAAAATAACAGCGTTTTATTAAATGCATATGAAAGTATATATACGGTACTTATAAAAAAAAAACAGCTTTTAAAACTCTTGTCTGTCTGACCTTCTATCGCTCTTTGTTTGTTCCGAATAATTTCCGAAATGACCGAACTGATTTTGATATGACTTTCAGTAGCAGATAACTGATGTTAGGGCTAAGGCTACTTTAATATTAGAGTACCGCGTAAAAAAAATAAATAAAAATGAAGTCGCGGTGAACAGCCTTTTATAATAATATAACAATACTATTCAGTATCGTATTAAAAACATAGGGAAAGGCTATTCGTCACAAAAAATCAATTTAGATAATAATACATAACGACAGAGTGCTGCTTCGGCACCCGAGCTCGGACTTAGCAACTTTGCAACGTCGTCTCGACGTCGTCGAGTTCTTCACGAGGTCGCAGAGCGATTCCCTCATGAGGAACATTTGCGCATCGCTGAGATTTATTAGGAACGTAAACGTAAGGACACAATTGATTATAATATATTTATTTTTTAAGTGGTAGAGCCATACTGCTGGGTCCGCTCGACCGGGGAAGGACCACGATTACACAGAATACCAGCGTAACGCTGCTTTGTTTCGTATAGTGAGTATAGAGAACCAGAGACCTTTTTTACTGAAAACGAGGCATTCCATCTTAGTACTCATGGTTGACAATGCATTTGCATTTTGATTCGTAATCGAGGATAGATGTAGATGCCACTTACCATCAGGTGGACTGTGTGCTCGTGTCACCTTCTCCTATAAAAAAATTACTAAAGCAGCATGAATAAGTCGGCTCGATCGGGGAACACGTGATCCTTCTGGCTTATGACTGATTAACATATATTATATATATTAGTTAACAAAATTTTAAGTTAAAATTAATTTAGCGCTTACACGTTATCAACTCAGTCTCTTTAGTTTGTCTAATAGGTAAATAGTAACATCATAAATTCGGTGGTTTAATTCGTAGTGAAGTTTTAGATGAAATAAAGGATAAAATAGTTAGCGAAGAAAGTACCGAAAACACTGAGGAGTGAGAAGATGAATATGAAACAAAAGCAATTTTGTTTCATGAACTAGCAGAAGAAAAAAAAGTGTATTTCTCTGTACTGCGAATATCAGTAGAATCCGTTAATTACTTGTTGTGTAAAGTTGAGCATATACCGAGTAGAGACACTCCAATACAATGTGCGATAGAACCAAAATTAAGTACCACGTTCTTACATAATAGATAAATAAAATAGCACAGTTCAATGCTGCTGAATTTTGTATGGTGGGTAAAGAGAACCGGGAACTCTTTTTACTGGAAACGAGTCATTCTATATTACTCCTTAACAACGCATCTGTATTTTGATTCCTAACTGAAGATAAATGTAGATGTCTATAGGCTACAGCATCCACTGAACAGCAGCTACTGTGTGCTAGTTTGTCACTCTTATGCTCAAAAAAATCACTATTTAACTAAGTAGTTGAATATTTACTCTAATAGATTTTTTCTTCTTACTTACTGCGCCACCCAAAAGCAAGACGCTTTGTAGGAACTTGTAACTGAAGATTCTGAATCTTGTGCAAGCGATAAAATTTTAACCAAAATGACTTTTTTATTGCCAGATATTCTAGACCTTTTCATTTTCAGGGCATCCTTGCTAAAATCAAAGCGCTATCTGCTAAACCCTATCAGTGGAAGTCGTTGTATAACGTGAGTACTGATCGATTCTACAACATGTCTACTCTACATAATCTACAATATATAAATTGTTTTAAATCATTATATTGCAAATACTCTTAATCAAAAAACTTGATGTATTTTTAACGTGGTAGTGCCACGCTATAGTTGCAGCTCGAATGACTCGACCGGGGTAGGACCACGCTCTCACAGAATACCAGCCTGAAATAGCAGCTTAATGTTGCTGTGTTTCGCATGGTGAGTGTAGAGAACCGGAGATACTTTTTATTGGTTACAAGGCATTCCATTTCGGTGTTTAAGGGGGACAAACCATCTGCTTTGTAATTCTTAATTGAGGATGAATGTAAATGTTTATGGGCCACAGCATTAACTTACCACCACATGGGCTGTATGTTCCTTCTCACCTTTATTCTATAAAAATTGGATGTGAAGAAGACGAGAGAGGTGTATCAGAATCATGTCAAATAGGAATCCGTAACCGGTGCCCACCTGTTTTAAAGTAAAGGTGGAATAGTTTTCATTACTCGTGCGCCGATTACTCCTGGATTAATTCCAGAAACAGATTGGTGCAGAAAATATCTATTAAGAGTGCATTACTCTCAATTGTCATATATGAAATTGGTGCTCTAATGGCGGAACATTTTGAATGAAACTTTTTTTACGAATTTTATCGCGTTTAAATAATGCCGTCTTAGCCCCCCAGTGGACACAATACATCTGCGTTTTGATTCTTAATATACGATAGACGAAGATATTTATGGATCACAGCGTCCACTTACCACCAGGTGGGCTGTGTGCTCGTTTGTCACCCCTATTGTGTAAAGTAATATGTTGCCTTTTACGACACCTACTGAATATGATTGAGTGTAGGATCATATTACGCTACCACCAGAGAACACGCTTGCACCTATTGCTGATAGGTCTTAACATCACTGCAAGCCTGTATTGCATCTAAAATGTGATGCATCTTAAAACGGCGGCCGCTTTCTTCCGTCTGCTTAAAAAGAAATTCCCCTTCCAGAAATTAAATTCTTTATTAAAGCGGGTATAAAAGAAATTAAAATGAAAAGTGCTTTATTAACAGAACCAATTGTTTTATTAAACAGGTAATATCTGTTAGTTCCTTCACTAGTCAAGCTTGTATTGAGGAAACCTGATACCAAAGTTCATTATGGGTTATTTTATACATTATCAGACAGATTATGTGTATAAAATAACGCATAGTGAACTTTATTAACATGTTACAGCCTTTTAAAGTCCACTGCTTAACATAGGCCCCTCCCATAGATTACGTCGTAGGGGACATATTTGCCATAGTTGCCACAGCAAGCGGGTTGGCAAACGCAGTTTTTTATTTGTAGTCGTTATAAAGAAAACGTGGCTGCCCATCCCCTGATTTGTTTCCCTCTGCTAATGCTTAAATTTATACGTAACAAAAGAAACCTGCAACAACCAAGCCAAGTTTTATATAACAACTCGGATTGTTTTAATTATATGCTTGTAAAAAGGTAATAAAAATTAAGAATATTTCTTATATAGTTTTTAACGTATACAAGAAGTCTAAGGATCCGGCCCGGCTTCGCACGAGTGATTTCTGGATCTCGAAAGCAGCGCCACCTACCAGGTCCAATTGTGAATCTAAACCATTCTCAAATCAATTTAATCACACATACACATAGAATTTTCGCCTATACAACATGTAACAAACATCCTGTGATTCCCGTTAAGTGCGTTATCAGAATCAGTATTCAAACGTATAGAAATATTTCTTTTTCCGGTAAATTAAAATTAATTTTACTTGCAAATTGTATGTGGTTTTATTACTTCTAGCTGACACGAGTATAAAGCGGGGTCTTTGTCAATCCTCTTACTCCTCGTACAATGGTAATAAAACTACATAGAATTTGCAGATTAATTTTTTAAATAAACATAAAAATATTAATGGTTGAGTTTTTGGAAAAAATGTTGTGATAATAACGCACTTAACGGAAATCACAGGCTTTTTCTTACATGTTGTATAAAGATATTAAAATCCCCACAGACGTTGTACAACGCTGTGCTCATATGCGAACTGTGTGAGAACGCGGGCAGCTCCAGCGAGATTCTCCAGCAGCTCGCCTCGTGCGACAACCATAACTTGTATGAGGTAAAGATCCGACAACTTTTTGCATTGTAGAAAATTTGAAGATTAAACATTATTATATAAAACTGAAATAAGCAACGAACTTACGGTCCACCCAATGGTATGTGGTCACTGCAGTCCGTGAACACCCTGTAACCAACTTCAAAGGAGTAAGGCGGAACTCTTCAAAGCCTTTTTTATATAGAATAAGGGTGACAAACGAGCACATAGTCCTTCAGATGTAAATGGATTGGCTTTGGTGAAAGGGTCTCCGGTACTTTACAATGAGCACAGGAAGTAGTAAGTATTCTCTATCTCCGGTCAAGCCGACCTATTTGTGCCACAACCATAATATAACTACAGGGTGATTTTACCACTTATTTTGCTTCTTAATCGAGGAAGAATGCAGAAGTCTATGAGCTACAGCATCCACTTAGCATCAGGTGGACTGTGTGCTCGGTTGTCACCCTTATTCTATAAAAAAGAAATCTTTAACATCTTTAAACTGTAGCGCTAATCAAGACAGACCCCTAAGCAAAAGAAGCCCTCCTTCCATTTTTTATAAAATATATAAGGTCTTCTTACAAACAGTACTAACAATAAAAGTTATTACCCAATAACAAACACTTATGTTCTTTCTTTTATGTCAGATGGCACTATGCATGAATAGAATTATTGACTTCGATCTGTCCAAGTCTGAAGGAAAGTTTACCGTGAAAGCGGGTGTCGATCCCGACCTGGACTTGAGTGAGTACAAACAAACTAAATAAATTTAACTTATGTACTTAGTTATAAATTTATATTTCTTTGAGAATCATGTACTTTATTTACGAGAAAAGAATATTATGAATTCCGTTGTATTATTGTAGATTGTTTGAAATAAGCTTTTTCACACATAAATAACTTAACTAGGAATTCTAGAACTACGGCTATATTATAAAAATGATAAAATTACTAAATTGTAATAATAATAGCGTAAAATAAGAGGGCTTTCGGGAATCAAGGAAGTGACAACATTACTATTTAAAAATGTATTTATTGCTTTTCGAAGTATTCTCCGCGAAATTTGACACATTTTTCCATACGATGGAACCAATCATTGCAGCAACCATTCCATTCGGAAGTTGGGGTCTCCAAAATGGCCGTTTTGTAGGCGTCCACAGCTTCTTCAGGTGATGAAAATCTCTGTCTACGTAATTTATTCTTTATTTTAGGGAAAGTATAGAAATCATTAGGGCTTAGGTCGGGGCTGTACGGCGGATGGTCTAATAATTCTATGTTTTCTTGCTCTAAAATCTCTTTTGTTCTGTGTGCGGTGTGAGAACTCGCATTGTCGTGATGCGAGGATGATGCGGCGGTTGCAGTTCTCTTTACGGAGTTCAGAAACGACCTGTGGCAAACAAATGCTGGCATACCATTCTGCATTAACCGTTCTTTGTCCCTCAAGAGGAATAGTCGTAATATGGCCGGTTTTGGAGACAAACGTGGCCACCATTTTTTTTTGCAACACTCCCTGAACGAACAATTTTGGTTGGCTTTAACTCATTTTCGAACACCCAAACTCGTGACTGGTTTTTTGTTTCGGGCTCATACGCGTATATCCAGGATTCGTCGTCTGATACGATGTTGTATACAGCATTTGAGGATCCTGCGTGGAATCTTTCGAGAGTTCTGACGCACCAAGTAACACGAGCCGCTTTTTGCTCTTCACAGAGCGAATGCGGTATCCATCGGGAAAACAACTTTTTTACACCTAATTGTTCATGCAAGATTATTTGTATTTGACTCATGCCGATTTCTAAAGTTGCCTGAATTTCGCGGTATGTCACATGTCGATCTTCCTCAATCAGCTTACGCACAGCACAAAGTTTTCTTGGGTGACTGTAGTTTTTGGACGACCTTGACGGGGATCATCACTGACCTTGACACGTCCACATTGAAATTCAGCAAACCAGCGGTAAATTGTGGTTTTGGACGGGGCTTCATCACCAAATGCAGAAATCATCCGGTCAACACACTGTTTTTGTGTTAAACCACTTCGAAAGTCATAATAAATCATCGCTCTTGAATTTTCTCGAGTCAATTCCATTTTCTTAACGACTAAACAAGTTTGACAAAACCTTGTGACAAGACCGAGAATCTTTTCTTAAATAAATAAAAAATGGTATTCGATTTTTAAAACCAAGGAGTTTTCAATTAAAAAGATTTTAATATGACAGGAACAGTGGAAATATTCCATTCCCGATACTTTTAGTGCAGCCTAGTAGTAGGTTAATGCTGCTGTGTTTCGTTTGGTGAGTGTAGAGAACTGGAGACCCTTTTTACTGGAAACGAGGCATTCCATCTTAGTCCTCACGGGTGACAACGCATCTGCATTTAGATTCTTTATAGAGGATAGATGTAGATGTCTATAGGCCACAGCAACCATCAGGTGGGATTGTGTGCTCATTTGTCACCCTATCCTATAAAAAAAAATATTATGCCTTTAGATTCTTTTATAAAACTGAAGTGACACCTTCGTGACGAAGTTACTGTCCACCTGATGGTGAGTGGGTACTCCGTTTACACCACAAAGGACTAAGTAGTTAATTGCTAGATGGAATTTTTTACTTTAGTAAGATCCGATTGTTTCGGCGATTGCCAATGAAGGGATTCTTATGTTTTCTATTGTATATCCTATTTGGATCGAATGTTCAGTAAAAAAGAGGGGAGACTCATCCAACGTCTGAATATCCTATTAGAAAAAAGAATAGTGAGGAAGGAATTAAGTCATATTATTCCTGCCTGTCCAACATTGATATTCCACTCCTGAACATAAGTCTACCCCCCTGATTGCCCCATAGGGGGGGTTTTGCCATCGTTAGGCAGTATTTATTAACTTTGAATTGTTATCAGGAAGATGCTACTGCCCAGCTCCTATTTTAGGTTTCTTCTTTGACCTCTTACCTGACACCCACGACACGATGGGGTAATGAATAAACTTACACTGTCATTTCAATTCCTTTTGTTATTTTTTAATAATAAACTAAATTCGACCCATCAGAATAACATTCATGAAATCGATTTTTGATTAGTGAGTTGTTTCTTTATATTATAGAGAAACAAACGATGGCGAGCCTTCACGGGCTTATGTCAGAAACTGCTAAAGTGGAATTGGACCGACTGCCGGCTTTCGTAGAGGAGTGCACTATGCTGTACATGCCGCACCTCGGCTACTTACTCGGTGTGAAGGCCTGGGCTGACAACTTGACCATGCAACAGAAGGAACTGCCAAATATGAAATTTATGGTGAGCATAGAGAAGTGAGACTGTGTTTTTTAATTCATATTTGTTGCTAGCTGTAGACATCTTGTTTCATCATATATTCTAATCTAAATAATATAACTCTGGAGCTTTAAAGAGGACACTAGCTTTTAACAAAAATTAAATTTACTTGGTTCGAGTATAATATACGTGCTGTTTTAGAGAGTCATTACCAATCGTCTCGCAAGCACACTCGACGACTTACAGCCTCTTAAAAGGCTATAACACAATAGAGCACGTACTTACCCTCCAGCAAATTGTATAGAAGACCGAAGAGTACAATCTTTCACTTTATCTTGGGTATGTGGACTATGAGAAAGCCTTTCCATCGAAATTTGGGCGGTGCTACAGTACCTTCAGCAGTGCCAAGTCGGCTATCGGTACATCCAGTGCTGAAGTGTTTGTACAATGGGCTACGAAAGCTATCCGTATACAGAACCAGAGTACGAAACCTATACAACTGCAGAGAGGTGTAAGACAGAGTGACGTTATATCCCCGAAACTCTTCGCCGCTGCTTTGGAAGACGTTTTCAAGCTCCTGGACTGGAAAGGTACGGTATTATCAATGGGGATACATCACTCACCTTCTATTTGCCGACGATGTAGTCCTTATGGCAGTACGAGATCTAAGTTTAGTGTCTTCCAACGAATAGATCTTAAGACGAACATGGACAAAACAAAGGTCATGTGTAATGTCTATGTCGCACCTATGCCGGTAGTTGTTGATGAGTACGTTTACCTAGGACAAATAGTCTTACTAAGTAAGTCCAACTTCGAACGAGAGGTCAATCGACAGATTCAACTCGGCTGGGGAGCGTTCGGGAAATTACGACACATCTTCTCGTCAGGTATACCTCAAAACCTGAAATCAATATTATACAGCCAGTGCGTGTTGCAAGTGATGACTTATGGATCTGAGACGTGGTCCTTTCCTGCTGGCCGTATGAGGACGCTCAAGGTCGTTCAGAGGGCTATGGAGAGGGCTGTGCTCAGAGTTTCTCTGCGTGATAAACTTAGAAATGAGGATATCCGCAGTAGAGCCAGAGTGACCGACATAGCACAACAGTTTAGTAAGCCGAAGTGGTAACGGGCCATATAGCTCGAAGAACCGACAACCATTGGGGAAAAAAGGTTCTCGAGTGGCAGCCTCGTACCGGTGGGCATAGTGTAGGGTGATCCCCCCTAGATGGAGTGACGACCTGGTAAGACATGCACGAAGTCGATGGATGCAGGTGGCTCAGGACCGTGCTTTGTGGCATTCCTTGGGGGAGGCCTATGTTCAGCAGTGGACTTGTGAAGTGCTGTAATGATGATTATGATGATATATATAAGTTAATTAGCAAGTTTTTTTATAGAATAAGGGTGACAAACGAGCCCACAGTACTCCTGATAGTAATTGGATGCTGGGGTCCATAGAGATCTATTCTCGATTAAGAATCAACGTGCAGATACGTTGTCACCCATGAGGACTAAGATGGAGTGCCTTGTATCCAGTAAAAAGTATCTCCGGTTCTCTATACTCACCATATGAAACACAGCAGCATTAAGCTACTATTTCACGCTGGGATTCTGTGATAACGTGGTCCCTCACTGGTCGAGCCTACTCATTCATGCTACAACCACAATATATCTGTAGAGAAGCTCTATCGCGTAAAATAAAAGTAGACAATTATGTTTCAAAAAAAAAAGAAAAATAATGGCTTGTGGGTTACAATAAGTCGCAAAGCGTTTAATAAATGGGCGATAGTAGAAATCCACAAATTTAAAAGAAGGTTGTGTGAGCTTTTTATCGATCGATCATAGTGATACGTTTAGACTTTAGAGAATATGTAAAAAAATATTCTAAAGTATTTAAAAAAGTGTGCTTCTCTATTATATTCTATTTTATTACAATATTATTAGACCTTGCGGTCAACCACTGTGTGATTTATAAGAAGTTTTCTTCCTCGCACAACTTCCTTGTAGAATCGACTACCACCAGAGATTTTTTCCGGGCCGAAACGACTTAGGGACCTTCAAGGAAAGAGCCTACTCCTTTTTAAAGGCCGGCAATGCATCTGCAATTCCCCTTGTGCTGCCGTTGTTCATGGGCGGCGGTGATCACTTACCATCAGGTGAGCCTCATGCTCGTTTGCCACCTCTCCTATACAAAAAAACTTGTTTGAATTGTCATAAATATTCAGATATCCATTATTAATTTTGATGATATGTTTATACACAATTTTACACAAGTGCTTACACCACCACATAGTTGTTGCAAATTGTGAAAAAAATAGTTTTGGTGTGCTAAGATTTTTTTATTTTTGCTACGCCTTGAATATTGAAATAATAAATCGTACTTATACTCCCGTATATTTCAAAAATTATTTGCATTGTAATGCATGCTAATTATTTTCAGTTCCAAAATAATGACTACATACACTACAAGAGCAAGGGATGTGAAGGTGAGTTAACTCTTTAAAAATATATATCGATATGTGTTAAGGCATGAGTAACCATTTTCATAATTTTATCTGTTTGTCTATATGCCTGTCTGTCTGTCCGTGTTAATCTCTAGAATGAACAGATGTTGAGAACGATAAGATACAGATGTAATCTAGGCTTATACGAGTATATTATCCCAATCATCATCATCATCATTACAGCCCTTCACAAGTCCACTGCTGAACATAGGCCTCCCCCAAGGAATGGCACAAAGCACGGTCCTGAGCCACATGCATCCGTCGACTTCCTGCATGTCTTACCATGTCGTCACTCCATCTAGTGGGAGGTACCCTACCTTACTCCTACCGGTACGAGGCTGTCACTCAAGAACCTTCTTTCCCCATCGGATGTCAGTTCTTCGAGCTATATGGCCGGCCCATTGCCACTTCAGCTTACTAATCCCTTGGACTTTGTCGGTTTCTGTGGTTCTACTGCGGATATCCTCATTCCTAAGTTTATCACGCTGAGAACCCCCGAGCATAGCCCTCGCCAAAGGTTGCTGAGCGACCTTGAGCGTCATCATACGGCCAGCAGTGAAGGACCACGTCTCAGATACGTAAGTCATCACTAGCAAACACGCACTGGTTGTACAATCTTATCCGAATAACTAGAAATAATTTTGAGAAATAAAAAACTCCTCAAATTAAACGGTTTTTAATGATTATCTTAACTCTAAATAACGCCACATGAACAGATCCTACCCAGGTGAAGCCGGGCGAGGGTCTCTAGTTATTTATAAAACCGGTGAATCTCGCTCTCCTAGGTTTACTGTTTGAAGACGTAAGTTAAATGTATCTATCATCTTTCTTTCTTCATTCGACCGCAAATGGTACATTGAAACAGAAACCTTTTTATTTACTATAAATTATAAATAATACTTATTGAAAGTCACTTTTTTTTAATTTACCACTGGTTTGAAAAAAAACCTCTGTCCTGGGAACAACCAGCAAGTAACCCAGCGGGACAGTTTTTTTTTTAAATAACAGTTTACAATCATGTATGTTACAGACAACACAAAACAAAATAGAAATAGCTTGGTAGTGATCACGTTTCCCACCTACTCAGGGGTTATTATCATCCATAAATATCTCCATAAATATCCTTAATATTATAATAACCCTCTTTTATCATAGATTTTTCCGTGGTAGCCATGCTTGCCAGGCGGGTTGGCAACTGCAGATGTAATTTTAAGTTATATCAGGAATATGCTGCTACCCATCTCGTGTTTTAGATTCCCTTTGTCTTTCAACACCCACGGGACGATATGGGATAACGGATATTATTACACCGTCACTACACGGTACGTGGTACGGCACCATTAATTAGCTAGAATTCTTGTCAATTTTTTTATTATTATCCATAAATTCCTTAATATAAAATAACCTCTTCTCTTCTCGTCTCTTCTATTTCATCTTCTCCCATAGGCTAGATCTATCAATGACCTATTTATCACATATTTATAGTATGTCTTTTCGGGTCGAATTTATTAATTAATTTTAAACTACGTTCCCGATGAACTTAAAGATTTAAAATTTTGATCATAACTCAGAATTGGATGCCAATGCAAGAATATGGACAGAAAAAACGTGTTGTAAGCAAATTTTCAATACATAATGAATTTTTTAACACACAATTTTTACATTTTGCAATTATATAAATGAATACAAAATGTTTAAAAAATTCTATTTGTTTCCATATCCTATTTGTAAGAACAAGTAGATAAATAAATTGTTGATATCTTTGCATTGCACACAGAGCTGGATGTGATGATAGGCGACACGTACCCAGAGATAGTCGCTCACGAGACCAGGATCATGATGCGATTGACGGCTGTAATGTTGGAGAATCTGCACACACTCGCTTCTGTGATAGACAAGTGCGCCGAGCTCGATTGGTAAGGGTTAATATGGCACGGGTTTTAAGACGGCTCTATAATAATGTAAGACGTTCAAGTTAAAGGGACGCTAAATAAGTTGACCCATGACAAAGGCAATTTTACTACTGTATAAAAATATAATCTATAGATATAAATAAAATTGATATGTCTGCTTGTTTTTATATGCTGTTAAGACATATGTGTGTATATTTATAGACAAATAATTAAATATTAATTAGAAAAAAAAAATTTAATTTTTTTGTCAGTCGGACTGTTTTTCATATTTTTTAAAGGATAAGGGCGACAAACGAGCACGCAGTCCACCTGATGGTAAGTGGATGCTGTGGCCCATAGACGTCTATCTAAATTTATCCTCGATTAAAAATCAAAACGCAGACGCGTTGTCACCCCTGAGGACTAAGACGGAATGCCTCGTTTCCAGTAAAAAAGAGTCTCTGGATCTCTACACTCACCATACGAAACACAGCAGCATTAAGCTGCTATTTTACGCTGGTATTCTGTAAGAGCGTGGCCCTCCTCAGTCGAGTCAACCCATTCGTGCTACAACCATAATAGTTGCAGCGTGGCTCTACCACTTTAAAAACGTCTGTCAGGCTATTCTGTTTGCCTGTTCAGGCTAATTTCCAGAATAGCGGAACCGATTTTGATGTAATTTTATGAATATTAAAAAAAATATAAGATAAATAGTCTTTGATTAATTTAAATCCGAATAACGTTACATTAATAGATCCTTTCCGGGCGAAAATGGGGTGGGTCGCTAGTCTAATAGATAGTAATTGCTATTGGTCGTGTTGCTTGTGGACCCGTGCTTGGAGCCCAGGTCAGACCAAAAAAAATCAGTTTTTAAGGTTTTCGGTCAAGAAGTTCTCGAATAGCTGCCCGGAGTCAGAATGTTGGCGGTGTTTGACCCCCGTGCCTCGGAAAGCATGTAAAGCCGTTGGTCCCGCACCTGCTCTCTCTCTCTGGTCGTGTCGGATTACCGTTCCGTAGGACCATATGAGTGAGGGAATAGAAAGTACACGTGTACTTGCGCATACACTTGGGCACTATAATCCTGTCCTACGCCTGTGTACTGTCCAATGGCTAGTCTCAATTGAGGCTGGCCGCCGTAAACGAAATTCAGTCTGGAAGACATTACTATGGTAACTTATTGTCCCCTACTGATGTATATATTATGTAAAAATACCATGTTTTATTTACATAGTGGTAACCTAGAAATTTTAACCAGATTCCGATAGTAACTTCTTATATTTAATCCAAATTAAGAGTGTTGCTAGTTTTTTTTAAATACTGAGTTGTTATCAAAAAGACTGCTGTCATCTCCTGTTTCAATTTTCTTCTGGCTTCTATTACATCACCCACAGGATGATATGGGGATGGTTTCTTACGGCTCTACGGTACACAAAAATAAGATTTTTGTTTCTACGCCTTTCTTATGAACGTCAACGTTACAGCCTATAATATATACGTCCCAATACTGGACACAGGCCCGCTCTCACTTCTGAGAGGGTTCTTATGAACGTAATTTGTAATAAAAAAATAACTATGAACAACACAATATTTAAAATGAATCCCCACCTGCAGCCTTATAGCAATTGCAAAGGTTTGCAAAGAATTAAATTTTGTTCGACCTACCCTCACAACTGAGAAAGTGATCAAAGTAAAACAAGGCAAGCACCCCCTGTATGTAACGACCTGCGACAACTTCGTGCCCAACGACGCAGAGAGCAGCCGTGATGCAGGCTTCGTCAAGATCCTAACGGCACCTAACTCTGCGGGGAAATCAGTTTATTTGAAACAAACAGGTAATGTGGTCTTTAATATCAGATTGATTGATATACTTAAGATACTAATCAAGATCACTTTGTTATATTTTAATATTATTAATTTTTACGATGAATTACGTGAACTTAAAACAAATGTAAGGATGTCGGAAATTGAGATTAAACCAGTCTTTTCTTTTATGAAAATGATTTTCGAGAAAACAAAAAAAATTCTAATAGAATACATGCATTTATTTGTTTTTTCTTAAATTAATACGAATCCAGGCATAGTAAATATAAGTAGTAGTTGTATTATGAATTTGACATTTGTCACCGATGTAAATCCATATTTGTCGGGTTTGAAGGACCACCATTATACATTTTATATATTTCCATTTTCTTTCACCCATAAACAGACTAATGCAAGATTGTAGATATATAGTAAAGCCTCACTGGGCTCGGACACGTTCATAGTGTATAAAATCTACAGGTCTGATTGTATACCTGGCTCACATCGGCAGCTTCGTCCCGGCAGAGTCTGCCGAGATTGGCATAGTGAGCCACATTTACTCCAGGATACAGTCCACCGAGTGCGTGGCCGCGCATATGTCCGCATTCCTCATAGATTTGAGACAAGTACGTTTTTTTATGTTCAACATTTGTTACTCAATAAACTAACTCTGTTCAAAAAACTAGATTAATACTTAGAATTTTCAGCCTTTAAACTGGTGGTAGAGCTTTTTGCCAAGACCGTGTAAGTCGGTAGGACATAATATACGTCTACTTGTCAAATGACGTCATACAAATAGTCTGATACTAATAGGAATATATCGATACATTTAATTAAACAATAGGCGAACACGGGGGGAGATACTGAGGAGTATCCACACTCCAGAAAGGTACTGAACTTGGATAGTAGTGTGATAAGATAGTAGTGTACCACCATCTAATCTATTGCCACCAGCTAGCATTGCACCAAATGTCCTTTGCCGGTTTAAAGGAGGATAAGAGTGTCAATATGCATATTCACTGGCTATACGGCATTCCGTCTTTGTCCCTAGAGGTAACAAGGCATCTGTGACCATTTAGGTCGACGCAGGACATCACAGAAAACGCGTGAAATAATAGCTTAATGCTGCTGTGTTTCGTATGGTAACCGGAGACCCTTTTTACTGGAAACGAGGCATTCCATCTTAGTCCTCACGGGTCATCTACTTTTTGGTTCGTAATCAAGGATAGATGTAGATGTCTATGAGCCACAGCAACCACTTACTATCAGGTGGACTGTGTGCTCGTTTATCATCCTATCCTATAAAAAACATAACCCTAGTGCATGAGTGTATACGCTAACGCAGGTGTACTTTTTAACACTCTATCCCCTTACTGACATAGTCCAATGGGATTGAAATCAGAGGTCAGAGTGAGAGGACCAGAGAGAGATAACGCGTAGAACCAACGGCTTTACATGCTTCCCGTGATAAGCGGGTGAAACCCTGGAAATTTCCTGACCACAGACTATGAGAATTTCTTGACAGAAAAACCCATAGACTGATTTTGCCCGAACTCGAGCAGGATCACGTGATCAACCGTCGCATTTACTACTACTGGACCAAAGAAACAGTCACTTTTTTAATATAGAATAAAGGTGACAAACGAGCATACAATCCACCTGATGGTAAGTGGATACTGTGGTCCATAGACATCCACATTTATCCTCACCTAAGGATCAAAATGCAAATGCGTTGTTACTCCGTCACCCCTGAGGACAAAGATGGAATACCTCAATTCCTGTAATAAGGGTCTCCGGTTCTCTACACTCACCATACGAAACACAGCAGTATTGAGCTGCGATTTTACTTTGGTATTCTATGAGAGCGTGGTCCTCCTCCAGTCGATCCGACACATCCGTGCTACAACCATAATATAGCTGCAGAGTGGCTTTAACACGTATAATTATAAAAACCCGTAAGTAGTTCACAGATGGACATACCACAGTTGAAGTAATTTGACATAATCCATAAAGCTTGTAGTTGCTGGTAGGCAAAATTACATTTTTTTGTAACTTCAATTTTTAACAGTTAAGACATTAACAACATAAACATTTTTTATTACCAGTCTACAAGAGTCCACTGCTGACATATAGATTGCATCATAGTGGGGGAATTTGCCACAGTTGCCACAACTGACAGGAGCCACGGCACGCGTATGGGCGGATTTCCTCTTAAGAAATATGTTATTATGTTATATGTTCATAATATCAAGAAGATGTTTACTTTTATTTTATTTAAAAAAAAGAATATTAACAATGCTATAAACATTACTAATATTCCCCTTAACCACTCGTGGTAAGCCTAAATCGCTTGTGTTACGTGTGGTTCACGCAGTAGTCGAATGGCGGATTCGAACCCTTTTAGAGTTTGCGGTCCGCGCCCTGCCATTAGGCTACTGTCGCTAAAATTTTGTGTCCATTTCCTGTTTATTTTCCCTTTAACGCTGCTTACGACACCTATTTGAGGTATGGGATAGTGGATTCCCTAACGTCGTTATTACACGTTAGCACAATTTATTAATAATCGCAATCCAACTGTTTAAAATCATTTTATCAGTTCACTAGGTGGTAAAATTTCTTTTCTATTTAGGAATCCGTCTGAGAAAGTACAGATGGAACTGAGCAGGTCCGAGTGGTAACTTACTATTTCTTATTAAAACTGAAGGGTAGAAGAGTCAGTTATAATTACAGGCTTTTAGTTATAGGTACCGCTTAATCTTTAGAGGTAACCACGCATCCATGGCCGTCTTTGCTTAAAGTTTGTTGACGATGTCTATCAAGCCTATGGTTAATAGTCATATGACAGATATAGAAGTTCCATTTATCCTAAAGCGCCCAGGGCCCCCAATGAGCCTAAGACGGCTCTGGCGTCCATGTCATCTATACAAGGAAAAATTAGTCAAGGAAAAAAATAGCTCCAAATGGCACATTCTTAATGTCCAGCCACAGATTTGAAAAGGTTGTTTATATGATGCTTCGTTTAGATGGCCCTGGCTCTCCAGGAGTCCACAAGCAACTCGCTGATCATAGTCGACGAGTTCGGCAAAGGCACCTCGGAGATAGACGGGCTGGCGCTGCTCTCAGCCTGTCTCAACACTCTACTATTCCGTGGGGAACAGTGTCCTCACGTGTTTCTGTCCACGCACTTTCTCAATATCAAGGAATACGTTCTTGATACGCCTATTGTGAAGTTTCTTGTAAGTTTAAATATTGTTTTCAACAGGGTTTTAAATATTTTTTACCTGAAACATAATATAATCAATAATAAACACTAATTTTTTTTACTGTTAATTATACCATATTGTGCAGTATTAATCAAACCCACAAAGTGGCCAATATAAAATGATCCGGGGGCTCTTTTCTCAGTTTATTTTCAAGTATGAAGGACTTCTTTCAATAAAACAATTTTTACAGATTTAATTTAAGCATAAAAATTGTTTTATTCAATATGTAGTATTCATATAAATATAAGAAATCATTATGAAAGGCTTCTGAAACATAACAAGCAGTCACAAAATCTATATTCAATTTTTGAAATGATATACTTAACACGATATAGTAGAGCTTCTGCCACAAGAAAAGTGTATTTATATTTCAAATCTGAACAACTTTATGTGGGTTGAAACATTTCAGTAATGCATATTATAAAAACAATACTATATTTTTGGGAGATTCTGAATTCGATTTTATATTTTGTTTTGTACCTATATTACGTGATATCTTTGCCAATTGTGGGTTACAAAGGTTACTAAAGGGTGGTTAAGAATTTAGTCTCAAAACGTAGTGATTTTGTACTCTTTGAGTGTGACGTACAGTTATCTTTACTCAAGATGGTCTCATTTAAATTTGAGAAAAAATTCTACCCTAAAAGGTGGTAGAAAACGGGGGATAAAATTTTAATGTAATTGTTTAGACGATGGTTTGCCAACCTTCTTTAGGTTGAGCCTCCCCGGACTGTAAATATTTTTATGCCTTTCTTCAATTTTTTACCTGACAGAAAATAAAGGCACATAATTGTAACAACATTTATTATGACAGAGTTGCACTTAACACTATTTGCTTAATTTTAATATATCTTGAACTGAATTTCTTGGAGTTTATCAGCCTTAGGCTTCGGTCGATGATTGTGGTAATAGCCGGTTCGGACGCTGCTTTTTATTGTCATTTAATTTTTTTAAACAGCGTCGGTCTTTATATATTTGTTCCAATACGCGTTTTAATATTCGGTGCATAGACGTTGGAATACGTGATTCGTGGCGGCGAGCCGGTGTTCTTGTTCCGGGTCATAACCGGGAGCGGAGACCGCGGTGGCGGGTACGGTTGCGCACCGGGTCTAGAACGCATGCGCACACGCGCTATGGCCATAGCTGATGCCGTGCAGGTATACAGAACTTACTCTTAATTTATAACTTTACTTAAAAATTTGAAAACCTCCGAAACAAAAGAGCTGATAGTCTTCAGACGGCTGAACAGATTTTCATGAAATAGGTAGCTAATAATACTCTCGATAAAGACACTTTCAAACGAAAAAAACTTAATCAAGACAGGTTGATCCGTTCAAGAGGAATGGTGCCAAAGACAGATTACATATCATATCAGATACACACTACAAACTTATAACAACGCTCTGTTTTCGTCGAGGGTTGAAAACGGCACGCGTCTCTTTTGTAGTTATTTTGAACTGATTTATCACATTGATATGATTGACTGATTCAGTCATCCTCAGCACTTCAGTCCCCCGTGACCATGGGTGCTAGAAAGGCTCGTAGGCCTTATTAGTGGCAACCACTAGGCATTGCTGCAGCAATATTGCTTTAGCACAGTGGTTCTCCACCTTTTTACTGATCCGTGAACCGTTGGACTAATTCTCGGCTTGCTATGGACAATCAACTTAGGCATTATAGGTACAACATGTAAGAAGAACCCCATTGTTCTATTAAATGCGTTGCCAGAATCAGTATTCAAATATATAGAAATAAATTTACTTCAGAAAACTCGACCTTAAAAAAATTAAATTAAATTTAAATAAATTATTATATAAGAGCCGTGGTAGTTCAGATGGTTAGCGCTCGCTGTAAATTTCACAGTACGCGAGCAAACCGGGTTCGATCCCCGCCGGCACCAATGAAATTGTTAATTGCAATTTTAAGTGCTGATTTACCACGTGTTCGGCGGTGAAGGAAAACATCGTGAGGAAACCTGCATGTCTGAGAAATAAGAAAAAAATATTTAGAATACATATGAAGTTCGCCAACACGCATTGGGACAGCGCGGCGGATAATTCCTTGTCCTACAAAAAAACCTCTCAGAAATAAGCGGAGGCCTGTGCCCAGGAGTGGGACGTATATAACTTTAACTTTTTTAACTTTAAATTATTACAAAATATTATAGTTTTAAGCACGAATGGGTCCGCTCGACCGGGGTAGAACCACGCTCTCACAGAATACCACCGCAAAATAGAAGCATAATGAAGTTGTTGTTTCTTGTGGTAAATGTAGAGAACCAAAGGCCCTTATTACTGGAAACGAGGCATTTCATCTTAGTCCTCACGGGTGACAACGCATCTGCATTTAGATTCTTAACCTAGACTATCAGGTGGACTGTGTGCTCGTTTGTCACCCTATTCTATTAAAAAAATATTCAGGACAGTCAGTTTCATCGCCAACGGTAACGAACTATTTTAACCGACTTCAAAAAGGCGGAGGTACTCGATTTAACTGTATGTTTTCTTTTATATATGTTACCTAACAACTTTTTTCTGGGTGAACCGAATTTGGTGATTCTTTTTATGTGAAAGCTGGTGCTTCTAGTGTGGTCCCATATAAATTTGATCAAGATCTGACTAGTAGTTTTTGATTTTATCCTTAATAATGCGTATTTAATCGACTCCGAATACATTGATGTTTTCATTTTATTTATATTGAAGTCGACTGTACAAAATTTTTAATTTTACGTCGTGTAGTGTCGCCGTAAGAGAATACAATACTCCATGTTATTTGTGTGGGTGTCGCAAGCGGCGGGAGAGAGGAAACTGGAACAGATTGATAGCAGCATCTTCCTGATAACAAACCAAAACCATAGTAAGTTATGGTTGTCACCTGCCTGTCGAGCGTGGCAGCTGTAACAAATCTCACCCTTACGAGGCAATCTGTGGGTAGACCGATGTTCAACAGTGTACTTTTGATAGACTGTAACGAAATTAATAAATGAAATGTCTCATATCTGTGTGTTGTTCTGTAGCTGCAAATAATTTGTTACCTTTCTAAATCGGCCACAAAAGCATTATCGTCGTAAAAGTTTAGTATGCTTTTATATCGATTATATTTAAACATTGGGACCCTAGGCTAGACTAGGCCAACTGGACTAAAACCCTAGGAGTTAGATGATCGTTAATATGTTGTTTCCAAATGTTTTTATATTTCTTTGTATAATTTATTGTAAATTAATGTTTAAAACAAGTCCCAGATGGGCTTTTACTAGTTCTTCCCACACATAGAAATTTATTCTGAACCAGTGAAAAAGCTAAAATAATAACACTTGTAATCTATATTGAATGAAAATTATTCTATTATACCTGTTCCATTATAATGAACACGCAATAATCTTTTATTTACAGAACAATACTTTACCACCTCCAGAGAAGAAAATACAAACCAAAATCAATTATGCCATAGAAAAATTGAAAAACGACCTTATAGCGGAAGAAATTTAATTAATTTTACATTAAATTATTTAGCTTGCTTACAACAACTTACATTTATATAAAATTTAAAATATCAAAAACAAACCTTACAATCTAAAAAAATTCGCATTAGTAACGACTGAAATAAATGACATTAGCAAAATGGAATGCTCGTTTTATTTAAAGGAACGTTCACATAATTAAAAAATATATCGTTCCGTATCAAAATTCATAAGACAAACAAATCATATTCACATAAAATTGGATCACATATGTCACATATTAATAGAGAGACAGCAGGCAACACCGATTAAACATTTCCGTAAATTATTTAAAACATTTTAAATATTCATTTCAACAGCTTTCATATATTCTAAAATGACTCTAAACTTGTAAACAAACAAACAACAGCTACACAATACATTAAGCGCTGGGTTCCCAAAGCGTGCGTCGTGGCAACGTAGAGAGTAAATAGAGGGCTACCACTCCAGAAACTTTTCCAACTAGCTTGTTCTGCTTTGGTCCGGTCCAAAATGAATTTCCAAGTCTTAATTTCAAAAGCTTTAAGAATTCTCAATCCCTTTCGCCACATCCTATTTATACGAAGCTGTAGGTAATTTTGTGAAGAATGAAATAAAAGTAGCAGTATTGTCTTATCCCCTATCGATAAAATTTGTTAAAATCAGGAAGTTTACGATTGAGCCATAGTGTGAATGTCACTTATCAAATACTTTATCAAAATATGTGTGTCATTTCACACATATTTTGATAAAGGCGCGCTGACAAAATACTATTATACATAATTATACCTCTGAGTGCGCGAACAAAAAAATTTTGGGAACCCCTACATTTAGCAATAGCTCAAGAATTACATAGACATGTTATATAGATATGTTATTTTAATACTTATGTTTAAAGTTGTAACTGCTACGTTATCAATTTCAGAAATTCATTATTTCCAATATATTATATGTATTTTCGGTTGAACACTTAAGACAAATTGTATTTAGCTTTAAACAAGACAAATTATTTTGAGAGAAGCAAACCAGGAGAAATTGCGGTTGCCATCACGTTAGCTGACCGTGGCAACTGTGGCAAATATCCCACTGTGAAAAATATATGGGAAGATCTATGTTCAGCAGTAGACTTCTGATAGACTGGAACGGTATTTGGTCAAGTTGACGTGCTTTTTATGCACTGAAAATTATTTTCTAAATTTCTGACGAATTGACAATTATTATTATAAGCCTTCGAGACGCTATAATAATAACTGTCAATTTTAAAAATAATAAAAATACAGTAATTAAATTTATTTCAAAGATATAGAATGCATTCAAGTATAGAAGTAGATAATATTATACCCTTTATTTAGAAAAATACGTCATATCCAAAAATTATACTAAGCTTAATTTTATTGTAAACTTTCAGATAATTTGTGTTATTTCTTTAATTTAAAAAATATTGTGTACTCTTTGTGGGCTTTTTAAATGACGTACTGAGTACTAATTAGGTTTAAGAAAATATGGGGCAGGTTTTGAATAAAAATTTTACTGATTTTATATCGTTTGATTTTAATTAATAATATAAATATAAATTTAGTCGACATACGTAACAAATTAGAACTAAACGTGATCAAATCCGTAAAATTAGATATACTCAATGTGACGTATGCGCGTAAATATAAGAAATAATTATGAAACGTTTTCTTTCCATTTTGTTGTTGTCGACCTTGCGGTCTTTGAGCCGTATGGAGGTGGCATTAGAGAACGATGGTGATGAAGTGTGGTAAAAGGCGACTATGGGATATTACTATTGATTGTGGTATAACCATCTTGTTTACGCCAGAAGTAAAATGCTCGACTAACGTAATAAACAAACCAGTGACGAGCAACAGCGTCAAACATGTTCACGTCGAGCACTGCGAAAGGCAAACCTCCCATACAATAGGAGAGGCATAGCCAGCAGTAGTCATCTGTGGGCTGATGAAGATGAAGATATTTTCACAGAATACGGGTGAGAAACGAGCACACAGCGCCCTCAGTTTCAAGACACTCCCCTTGTTGCCTCAGCTCGTACCGGATTTCTCGGCGTCGACATATCGAGTGACGTGCAGTTTCATGGTCACTTGGTAGAGAAAACAAAATTGGCCTCTAAAAAGCTTGGCGTACTCAGCAGGGCGGGACAGTATTTCATGCCGGCACACGCAGGTTCGGCCACACATGGAATACTGTTCCCATCGCTGGGCTGGGGCTCCCCAGTGCCAGCTCCTTCCACTTGACCGCATCCAGCGCAGAGCGGCTCGAATCGTCGACGACCGAGTGCTTTCCGATCGGTTCGATTCACTGGCGCTGCGAAGAGATGTTGCATCTCTTTGCATATTCTTTCCCATCTACCACGGGTAGTGTTCTGAGGTAGATGCTCTGATTTCAAGAACGCACTACGCGACAAACGTCCCGATACCATCCACACCATCTGGATGCTTGGCGGTCCACCACTGTACGTTTCAGGAGTTTTCTTCCGCGTACAACCTCTCTGTGGAATAATTTACCGCCGGCGATTTTTCCGGACCGATACGACCTGGGGACTTTCAAGGAAAGAGCCTGCTCCTTTTTAAAGGCCGGCAACGCACCTGCAATGCCCCTGGTGTTGCGGTTGTTCATGGGCGGCGGTAGTCACTTAACATCAGGTGAGCCGTATACTCGTTTGCCACCCTATCCTATAAAAAAGGCGTATTGGCAGCCGCAGTTCATTTTTATTTTTAATTGTTATCAAGAAGATGCTGCAGCCTATGTACCGTTTCGGTTTCCCTCTGTCGCCTCTTACGACACCGCGGGACGATACCGGGTAGTGGATATTTTTGCACTGCCACTACACGGTATAGTTCCTTCAACACAATATAAAACGAAAATTGTTAAAAATTCACTTTTTTGTTACTTTTATTAAGTAAATATTATTGGCTACCAGTTTGTCACATTTGTTTGTTTATTATTGTTCAAGAATAACGTAGGTGTGTAAATCTAGTAATATAACTGGAAGCACTAACTGTTGTATTATTTTTTTAAATAAAGTGACAAACGAAGTTAGAGTTTTAAAGAGGACTAAAGACGCGTGGTCACCTCTGAGGACTCAGATGGAATGACTCACAACCTGTAATAATACTGGTTTTCTGTTCAGGCGGTGATACTTACCTAGACGGACTTCTAGACAGAAAAGGAGTCTCACCACCTAGAAAACTCACGTTTCACAAAAAGATTTGTTGACTTAAGTTGAAAATATACACTCAACATTAGATCATATAGTGATTTTAAATATTTCTTTATACATCGTTTACCATTACAATACAGTTCAAATTAGAATAGAAACACGTCAATGCCCTAGAATCATGGAGTATAGAGGTAAGGAGGACAATCTCCCATAGGAGAATAGTTGAAAATGTGTCCATCCGTAAGCAGTAAATAATAGTACAAAAACTCTCCACAAGAGCGCTCGAGTAGCTACAGGGTATGATAAATCGCCGTAAAATACGTTGAGTGATTTTAAAAATAAAAATTTTGAAAGCAATAAAATAATTATTGTAAAAATAATTATGGTGAAAGACTGTGCAATAAAAAAATTATACAAAGTTCTTAAAAATTTTGCTGTAGCTTCAGAGGCGCCACCCTTATTTAGCGCTTTCCTACGGACACTCTTTTATACAGAGTCTGTACTCCTTACCTCTACACTCCATACCTAGAATGACCGCGATATGTCAACTGTCACTTGAAAAGTACGGCTTTCAAAGAAAATTCATTTTCCACTTTAATAAAATAAATATTATTTCAAAAATATATGTTTTGCTCACCCTACCTTACTGATTTGAATTGACAGCTATGACGTCAGAATAAGTTGTAAATCGTCAAATCAGTTGAATTTTTATTCGAATCGCACAGTAAATGTAATTTTGTAAGTTAAACAAAGAAGCCAAAGTTGGTTACAAATCTTTTGTAAACTGAATTCTTTCTACTAATCATGGACAAATATTAGGCCTTGCAAATGCCTGAAGCAATTTAAGTATTAACATAGACATGTATACATGAGGCATATAGAATCAAAGGCAGCTAAGCGACAAACTTTCAAAAAAATAACTAAGTATGGAGCCATCTAGTGAATTCTTGGTTGTAACTCTTTATTTTATTATTGTAAGAAACAAATACAGCTAAAGCCCTTTAAATTTCGTTCAAAAATTGATTTTGGGATCAAATACAGCTAAGTCACCTTAGGTCGCAATCAAAGACAGCTAGGTGATAAAACAACCAATCACAACGCTTGAATTCTCGAAAACAAAATGGCGATGTCTATACAACCGCGTTAGCCACACCTAATATTTTTATTGTATTTTTAGTGTTTTTAGTGAGTTCTCGTGCAAAATTTATTGTGAAACGACTATTATGGAGGTCCCTGTAGAACCGGCAAGTACTGGCAGAGGTCGAAAACGCACACGAAACCAAGAAAACTGGAAGACAAATATTGCTAAGAGAGAAAGGTTAGTGATGTGCCTCGCTTCTACACTCCGCACAATGTATAGATAAAGATAAATTATTGCAATCGTATTAAATTCATTTCTCGCAATATTTATTTTTCCATATATCTCCATGTACTTTAACGCTAATACAGTATGTATTTTCGTTAAGGTACATGGAGGGATGGACATGGAGGATCTAACTGTAACTAAAATTGTGCTAAGATAGAAAAGTTTGAGTGTTAAAAATATTTATTATTGTTTTTATTTTATTTTATCTCCCAATAATGTATTATTATAATTTTTACTATGTATGCAAACCTACCTACAAGTACCAGTGCTTTACCTACTAAGTAAAATAATAGCTTTTTTTTTTTTTTTTTTTTTTTTATAGGATAGGTGACAAACGAGCACACAGTCCACCTGATGGTAAGTGTTTGCTGCGGCCCATAGACATCTACATCTATCCTCGATTACGAATCAAAATGCAGATGCGTTGTCACCCGTGAGGACTAAGATGGAATGCCTCGTTTCCAGTAAAAAGGGTCTCCGGTTCTCTACACTCACCATACGAAATACAGCAGCATTAAGCTACTATTTCACGCTGGTATTCTGTGAGAGCGTGGTCCTTCCCCGGTCGAGCCGACCCATTCGTGCTACAACTAACTACTAATATAACTGTAGCATGGCTCTACCACGTACCACTACAAACTAGTAGTATGTTTAATAACACCCCTTTTTTCGTCAGGAGTTAAGTTCTTTACAGGTTCCTAGTACCTAACCAAATGTTTTTTTCACAGATACTCCTCAACTGCTTTACCTCAAAGAGTGAACTGTTCACATAAAAACCCAACGCTAAAATGTGCAACCCTGACAATGAATGAACTTCTAAAATTTCACCAATCATTTTATGCCTCAAGAAAAAAAGCTGTCAAGATGCTTTTCTTCTTAAGTGCTGTCAAATAAAACAAATTAAAAGAAGGCGTCCTAACCAAAATAAAAGGCTTAGAAGAGATTTTAATATCCAGTACATGATTTTAAACAGTCAGAATAAATGTGTAATTGTCCGCCAAACATTTTTTTTGAGTTCCTTGCAAATAAAAAAGGTATAGAGTGGAATTTGAAGGTGTTTTACTATACAGGACAGACAGTTAACAGTGGTAGAGCCACGCGGCAGCTTTGCTGTCGCACGTATGGGCCGGCTCAAACCGGGGGTGGTAGCACGACCTCACAGAATACCGGCGTGAAGTGGAAGCTTTGCTTCCGCGTTTCGTCTGGTGAGTGCAGGTGGCCGGAGGCCCAAATCCCCCCCCCCATCAACATGGTAGCGGAATTAAATGATAGACTACCCCAGGAGGGTACCAGCACCCCTGGAGAATCCCTCGCTGAGCATCCACGACCATGTTTCTCCACTTCTGAGCGTGGGTGCTCAGGCTGCCCCGCGTATTCTGGGGGGGGCAATATTCCGCTCAAGACTAAAACTGCTCGGGGCAAACGGAGCAGCAAGACCAAGGCAACCCCTGCCACGCTGTCCGTGAATTTCTGCAATATCAGGGGACTTCACTCTAACCTAAACGCCGTCCACTACCATCTCGAGACGGCGAGGCCGGCTCTGCTCTTTCTGACCGAGACGCAGGTGTCCTCTCCGGCTGATGTTTCGTATCTCTCCTGCCCGGGGTACAAACTGGAACACTCCTTTGTGCCTCGGGCTGGAGTTTGCGTTTACGTCAGAGAGGACATCTGTTCTCGACGCCTCGGCAGACTTGAAGGTTCGGACCTGTCCATCCTTTGGCTACGCGTAGACAGCGACGACCATCCGCGCGTCTACGGGTGCCTCTATAGGTCCCATAGCGGTAATGCCGAAACAGACCGACTCTTCGACCACGTCCAAATGGCTGCAGATTCGTTGCTACAGCAGATCCCCTCCGCAGAGATCGTGATCCTCGGCGACTTTAACGCCCATCACGCCGAATGGCTCGGTTCACGTTTAACCGATCATGCGGGGAGATCTGTTCATGATTTTGCCTTGGCATATGGTCTGACACAACTGGTTACTTCGCCTACGCGGATTCCAGATGTGGAGGATCATGCACCTTCCCTGTTGGACCTTCTGCTGACCTCTCACCCGGACGGATATCAGATTTCCGTTGACGCCCCTTTAGGCTCCTCGGACCATTGTCTTGTCCGGAGTGTGGTGCCACTCACGCTGAAATCGCGGTTGCATTCTGCAGGCTGCCGCCGTGTTTGGCACTATAGGTCAGCCGATTGGGATGCGATGCGGTCTTTCTTTGCATCCTACCCTTGGGGGCGGGTTTGCTTCTCGCCGGATGATCCCAACGTTGTTGCGGATTCTGTCGCTGATGTGGTACTTCAGGGTATGGAACTTTTTATTCCTTCCTCTGTGGTGCCCATTGGAGGCAAATCTCAGCCATGGTTTGGTCGCTCCTGTAAAATAGCATCATGCTATAAGCAGGAGTGCTACCGAGCCTGGGCTGACGCATCAGCGTCCAGGGATGTAAACACCAGCGCTCAAAAAAAGAAGTATAATTCCGCCTCTAGGTCCTTCAAAAGAGTCATTGCCAAGGCAAAGTCAGAGCACATAGGCAGAATTGGCGAGAGACTAGTTCGTCTTCCTTCTGGAACCCGTGCATTCTGGTCTCTCGCCAAGGCTGTCCAGGGGAAGTGTGTCAGCCATCTCTTCCATCTCTGCACAGGGAGGACGACTCACAGGCCCACACCGCAAAGGAGAAAGCCGATCTTCTAGGCTCTTTCTTTGCGTCTAACTCGACTCTCGAAGACGGGGGGAGTACGCCGCCGACCATCCCGCGGTGTGAGTGCTCCATGCCTGAAGTGCAGTTCACTCAGCGCTCGGTTCGCAAAGCACTCCTCTCCCTGGACATCCATAAGTCGAGTGGGCCTGATGGAATCCCCCCAATTGTGCTGAGGACGTGTGCTCCAGAGTTGGCACCGGTTTTAACGCGTCTTTTCCGGTACTCCTACTCCCTAGGCGTAGTCCCAAAATCATGGAAGACGGCTTTCGTCCACCCGATCCCTAAAAAAGGCGACCGCTCAGACCCGTCCAACTACCGGCCTATCGCCATCACCTCCTTGTTCTCCAAAACAATGGAGTCCATTGTAAACTGCCAGCTCATGAGGTACCTTGAGGATCACCAGCTGATTAGTGACCGCCAATACGGTTTTCGCCGTGGTAGGTCAGCTGGTGATCTTCTGGTCTACCTAACTCACAGATGGGCGGAGGCAGTAGAGTCCAAGGGGGAAGCATTGGCCGTTAGTTTGGACATTGCGAAGGCCTTCGATCGGGTTTGGCACAAAGCGCTTCTTTCGAAGCTCCCTTCCTATGGGCTTCCCGAGAAATTGTGCGATTGGATCACCAGTTTTCTTGCAGATCGGAGCATCAAGGTCGTTGTAGACGGTGCAAGCTCCGATTGCAAGCTTATTAATGCTGGTGTTCCACAGGGCTGCGTGCTATCGCCAACACTGTTTCTTCTGCATATCAATGATATGTTGCAAACCCGTAGCATTCATTGCTATGCAGATGACAGCACTGGTGATGCTCTTTACACCGGCCGAGCCAATATTTCTCGGGAAAACGTCTCTGAGTGCCGGGACAAACTTGTGTCTGAAGTCGAGTCTCTGCTGGACAGAGTCTCGGATTGGGGGCGACTAAATCTAGTCCAGTTTAACCCCCAGAAGACACAAGTTTGCGCGTTAACCGCTAAAAAGAACCCCTTTGTCGTATCCCCTCAGTTTCAAGGCACTCCCCTTGTTGCCTCAGCCAGTATCGGAATCCTCGGCGTTGACATATCGAGTGACGTGCAGTTTCGTGGTCACTTGGAAGGGAAGGCCAAATTGGCCTCTAAAAAGCTTGGCGTGCTCAGCAGAGCGGGACAGTATTTCATGCCGGCACACCGCCTGCAACTTTACAAGGCGCAGGTTCGGCCGCTCATGGAATAATGTTCCCATCTCTGGGCTGGGGCTCCCCAGTACCAGCTCCTTCCACTTGACCGCATCCAGCACAGAGCGGCTCGAATCGTTGATGCCCGAGTGCTTTCCGATCGGCTCGATTCAATGGCGCTGCGAAGAGATGTTGCATCTCTTTGCGTATTTTATCGCATCTATCACGGGGAGTGCTCTGAGGAATTGTTCGGATTAATCCCAGCCGCCAAATTTCGTGAACGCACTACACGGCAAACGTCCCGATACCATCCACACCATCTGGATGCTTGGCGGTCCACCACTGTACGTTTCAAAAGGAGTTTTCTTCCGCGTACAACCTCTCTGTGGAATAATTTACCACCGGTGATTTTTCCGGACCGATACGACCTGGGGACCTTCAAGAAAAGAGCTTACTCCTTTCTAAAGGGCCGGCAACGCACCTGCAATTCCCCTGGTGTTGCGGTTGATCATGGGCGGCGGTAGTCACTTTACATCAGGTGAGCCACATGCTCGTTTGCCCCTCTTCTATAAAAAAAAAAAAAAAAAAAAAAAGATTGCTAAAGAAAACAGGGGAGGAAATCATAAAATAAACAAGTATAAGGATCAAAAAGATATAGTTGGGCAGTTTATTATTAAGTTAAAATGCATAGAAGCACATTACTGTCGATCTGCAACACGAGAACGAAAATATCTGCACAGCGATTTGAGTATAAACAAACTTTATAAGATGTTCAAAACCGAAAATCCTCAGTCTGTTGTAAAGAAGTCTTATTTTCGTGCAATATTCAACCAAGATTTCAATTTAGGATTCGGTAATCCGAGAACAGACGTTTGCTCGAAATGCATTGAATTGGATGGGAAAATTAAAATGGAAAACGACCAAGTAAAAAAGAAAGACCTCATGATCGAAAAAAGAGTCCACAGGCTCAGGGCAAAAGCATTCTTTAAATTGCTTCAGGAAAAATCAGACGATATGATCACTTTCTCACTCGACTGTCAAAAAAAATAATCCCCTACCCAAAGTACCTGACCAAAGTGCATACTACAGTCGCCAAATATATCTCTACAATTTTACGATTGTTCAGGGTTCTTCTAAAGATCACCTGAATAAAGACACAACTTATGCATATTTGTGGACAGAGAACGAATTTCCAAAAACATCTAACCAGATAGCCTCTGCAGTGTACGACCGTTTAAATAAAACTAATTTTGAAGGGATTAACACTGTTCGTCTTGTAGCTGATGGATGTGGCGGGCAGAACAAGAATAGCATATTGCTATGAATGCTGTCAAGATGGCTTCTCGACAACACGTCTCTGAAAAAAATTGAAGTCGTTTTCCCCATTACTGGGCATTCTTTCATGCCACCAGACCGAGTTTTCGGAAACATTGAAAAAAGTCCTTAAAAAACAAGAAGTAATCATTCGACCTGAAGATTACGTAGACATCATTGCAACAAATGCAACCATTACAAAAATGCGTGACATTCAAATGTTAGACTTCAGGAGTGCCGAAAAAGATGTCCTAAAACCGACTGCGAGATGGCCTTTTAAAATAAGTGAATGCAAAAGATTCATTTTAAAGAGATCCAAAACTGTTGGAAATGTGCTTATTCGTGGAGAACTGCATTTTAATTCAGATATAGGTAAAGCAGTAAATCTTTGCAAAACTGGAATGAAAAACAATATGATTATCCCATCCACAGTGCCACTAGGAGCACCCATGAATCGTGCAAAAATAACTGATGTCGATGCATTATTAAAAAAGCATTTTGGCGCTGAATGGGAAACCAATGCAGAATGTCAGTTTTATGTAAATATTATAAGATCGCCAGTTATTCAAGAGGGGCATTCAGAAAGAGGGGAAGATGATAATGAAAACTATTATGAATGTAGGGATGATACTGTGGATTTAAGAATTTAAATTTTGTTTGTGTTCAAAAAAGAAGAAACAGCTGATTTAGTAATAAGAAAAGGTTTAATATAGTTCATAAGAATAGAATATTGTTTCTGAGAGTAAAGAAAAGTCTGATTAAAAAAGAGAAAAAGTGTTGTTTTTTTGTTAACTTGTTGATGAACTTTTGTTTTTGTTGAAAAAGAAGAAACAGCTGATTAAAAGTAATAAGTAATAAGAATAATTTAGTAATAAGAAAAATTTTAAGTTCATAGGAATAGAATATTGTTCCTAAAGGAAAAGAAAAATCTGATTAAAAAGAGAAAACGTGTTTTTGTTTCATAACGATTTTGATTATTATTTGAAGTTTTATGAACATTTTAAATATCTACATGAAAACATGTTTTAATTACTGGTCCATGCTATTGACATCTGTAGGGAACATAACTAACATTGTAATGTCAATATGGCGCCAGTCATTATCAAAAACAGCTAGGTTCACTTGAGTAAAAATCAAACACAGCTAAGTGTAGCTGTTGGTATCAAAGATAGCTAAGTCGTTTGATTTTTTATTTTTTTTCGGCTTATTATTTAGTACTCCCAAAAATAAAGGTAGCCAAAACCAATATTAAATCACATACTCTAAAATCAAAACTGTGAGAGTATGAAAACCCCTAACTCATAAATTAGAAAAACGTTTTTTTTCGGTTCCTGAAAATGTGACATAGAGGCACTTAGCTACCTTTGATTCTATATGCCTCACATAATATATTATACTTTATTTAACTTTGCTTATCAAGTAATATTAATTATGTAAATATTTTCTCCTAAATTTCGGACAAAATTCGGCCTCGAAAGACCCATTGTTCACATATATACTTTATTTAAATTTGCGGTGGACCGGAGCGGAGTAACCATAGCGTTTTTCCCCAAAACAGAAGTCTGTCATAATTTGCAAGAGGAAATCTGCGCACACTAAACGGTTTGTAAGTAAGCACTACCGAAAAACACGACAGTTACTATAGTAATTTTTAAGTTTAAAAGGAAGTAAAAAGAAATTGAGATAAAAAACTATTTTCATTAACAGATCTCTTTTTGCAGCAAAAAACTAAACAATATAAGGTACTTCTGTAGGACGTCGATTCAGCCGCGCAACTAGATTTAGTCTAGTGAGCAATGCGGCTGCAACTAGTTTTATTGTACGCATAGGATCGTGTTGACTCATGCTTTGACATAGGAGATCGCTTGCGTGTGGCTACTGCCCTCCGGTCCGCCGGTGGCCCGTGTTGTTCTATAAATGAGAATGATAGTTTTTATTTTTATTTTAGTAAATGTATATAGGCCAGAAGGTTTTCATAGTATATATACATAGAGACAGTGAACAGTTACAGACACAGCCTACATGGACTTCATCTGCGCCATGAGGTCCTCGAGCGAGAGCTCGGAGGCGGCCACGGCGCCGCCCGTGCTGGATTCCGTGCTGCTGTCCAGCGCCACGCTGTACGCCACCTGCACCAACCACATACCCTCAGTATCTTAAGCCCACAGCTGGTTATACGCTAAGTACCACAGAGTAACCACCACGCTAGGCAGGCGGTATGGTCAACGCACAGTTATGAGTTTCTGGGTTTTTCTGTATTTCTTACATGAGGCACGCTGAAAGTTCTAAGCCCGTTCATAAATGTTTGAATTTTGAATGTAATATTTTTAAAAACAAGAAATCCATGTAATAATATAAATAATTTTAGACGGGAAGTCACATGCCCATTGTTTTTTATTATAAGTTGAAGTAGTCAACCTCACCAAAAATGGAATAAGCGCGAAAAGATTTTGGGTCGATGATTTTTTATACAACTCACTTTCTGCGACCTTACACGGCTCGTCTTCAAAATGATTTTGAGGGGAAAGCACCTCATTTGAACACCATAAAGCGTTGGTACGCAAAATTTGATGGTGGCCGTTCACTCCATGATGAAATTCGTGAAGATCGACCCTCACCTGCGATCACTCAGGAAAATGTAGCTACTGTCACACGAATGAAAAAAAAACAGCACATCATCCATGAGGAAGAAATTAAAGAATATCTGGGTATACGTATGAGCCATATTCAAAAAAAATTAATTTAGAATTTAGAAACCTTTGTTGCCGTTGGACTCCCCGTGAACTCATCTAAGAACAAAAACAGGGTATAAAAAATTATGTTAAAATAATATCACGGATGTTCAAATGCTGTGTACGATTTTGTAACAGGGGATAAAAATTGTCACATTACAGAAAAAAAGCAACAGAAGTTCTACATGGGTGTTCGGATGCGACGGAATGGGCAAAAAATGCTTGCCTTTTTCTTCCATTCCGTCTGCACGATCCCACTTGATGAGCAAAAGACAGTTAATGCTATGTGATATACCACCATTTGTTCGTCCAGTGACTTTGAAAAGGTTAGGGCAAAACAACTAAGTAATTGCATCCTAATGCACCATGACTATACTTCGGCGCACACCGCGAACAAGGCAAAGTTTTGGCTTCTAAAAATGTTGAGCTCGTGACCCATCCAGACAGTCCAGACTATACACAATGTAATTTTTTTATTTTCTCAAAAATCAAAGATTTGATGAGATGTTTGACACTTACGGAGCCAGAAGAAGCCGTGATAGCTTTAAACCAGCATGTGAAAATCATGCCCTCAGACCAATAGTGCTTATGTTTTCAAAAATGATTTGAACGAATGATAGGGATATAAAATGTAGATGGTATTTAAAATGTAAGTTACTTTGAAAAGCAGTAAGTATATCCAGTTTCCCCTCTCAGAAATGAGGGGAGGCCTGTGCCCAGCAGTGGGACGTATTTAGGCTGTAACTTTACTACTTTTTATATCCAGTTTACATATAAATTGTTTTATTAAGGAGTTACGCAAAACTTTCAGTGTACCCCACGTATTAGTTTCCAAACAACAGTCGGTCGCTATTTCACAAAACAAAACAAAAAATACAAGCATTCTTCCATTCGGTGCCGAAATAGGAATTGACGGACTATAAGTTGTCTTCCAATTTATTCAACTGACTTCAAAAAAAGGAGGAGGTTCTCAATTCGACTGTATTTTTTATGTGTTACCTCAGAACTTTTTTCTAGGTGAACCTATTTTGATAATTCTTTTTTGAAAGCAAGTGCTTTACATGTGGTCTCATATAAATTTTATCAAAATTTGATTTTGAGTTATCTTTAACAATGCGTATTTAATTGATCTCGACTACATTGATAATGTATTCATTTTATTCATATTGAAGTCGGTTGTACAACATTTTTAATTTTACCACTTGTTTTAATTTTATAGACATGTAAATTACCTCACGGTGTTCTTCAATCTGAGCAATTGGTGAATTAGCATTTACAATTGCGACTAACAATTTTAGTGGTGCCGGTGGGACCAAACTTTGGTTGATCGTGTACAATTATTTTATTATTTATCATCATTATCATTTATATAATATATATATATACTGGACGACCTTGTTTACCGTTGGGAGAAAAATAGAGTGTAACATGTGAACTGAGTATACTTTACAAAATATAAGAATAAAATTTTTTAATTAAACGTTTGAAAAAATTCTTTTGAACAATTACTTTGCCCTTTGTCCTTGAGCCTGTGACCCTGCGAAGTGACAAAGTCAAAGATGCCTACAGAATTTATTGTTTTATTGCCGGTCGTAAAGTAGGGTGCCTATGATTTGAATTTCGATATATTTTAATTAATTAGTTATTTAATTGAAATTTGTGTTTTTATTTTTTGTAAAATATCAGTGCCATAGGTTTCTACTCTCATATTTTTTTCCAGCCGATTAAAAATGTCATCCAGTATATATATTATCAAGATTTATATCATAACTTAAATCAACATGGTTGGAAGGAAGGTGATATACATATAATTACCTGAACGCCATCGACTAGCCTCAAATTGGACGAGTCCTCTTCTTCAGGCGCGTTTTCGTCTATGAGGCAAATTCCTGTAATAAATATGTTTTAGTTATTGTAACAATGTTTATATAAATAATTGGACTGACAAACAAACTTACCGTCTATCTGTTGGTGAGTGGCTACAACAACACATGGACACCTGCAAACTGCTTCAAGTAAGGAAGACTGCAGATGCGTTGTCATCTCCGAGGACTAAGACGGAATTCCTCACAGCCTCTATATTGGCTAGGCTTTGGGTCCCGGGACGTCTCGTGGGACTTTTCGTAATTTTAGTTGGTTCGAGTCCCGGAACTTTCAGGTCGAGACTCGAGACAGGACAAGATTGTCGAAATTGTTATGTAATCATTTTTATTTTCAAATAATTGAAGGGGCCTGGCGTCATCTGTTGGTTTAATGAATTATTACTTGGTATATTACGTAACCTACTGAGTACACAACACAATAAATGCGTTGGCCGCGCCGCCATCATGCCGCCATCATGCCGCCATATTGGTTGTTTTGTGAAGTTTGGATTATGATTTTCATTTATGTGTATGATGTGAGTGTGGTGTAGTGTTTCTTTTGAACTCAGTTTACTACTGGATCTTAAAAGAAGGTGGAATTCCATCATTGTGATGGTGAAACGGTTCCTGAAGCCAAAAAATTGCGTGAAGAAAATGTTGATTGATTTAAACATGTTAGGCAGATAGAATGTAAACAATTTTCCTCTTTTGCAGTCAATTGTTGATTTGTTGCAGCCAGTGAAGATAGCTGTGGAAGCCTTAGGTCACAGAATAAATAATAGTACTACGTCCAGAAGTTTCATTATTTTAATGTTGACTGCTTGCCGACGTTTAATAGCCCACATAATTATTCTTAATAAAATAAATTGCGCACCCTTACTTTTATCGCTGAGCGCAAGTGTCCGTATTACTACTTTGCATCTTTTCCCATTCCCACATCACGCAGTGGCGAAGCTTCCATTAAAGCCGAAAAGCCGGGCTTGCCTTATTAAACCTGAATCAATCAATAATATCAACTAGTAAAATAACTCGTAAAATGTTTCAAGCTATTTCTAA